GAGCACAGTCAGTCAACCAAAGACTGGTGGTGGCAAATGAAAATTTCGAACTGGACTTGGTGGCGAGAATGTTACTCTTCTCTCCAATTTCACACGAATCTGCAGAACACAACCCACCCGCCACTGATGTTCTTGGACGAGTTCTTCACACGCCGCCAGACCATCTTTTCAGGCAGCGGTCAACACGACAATAAGGTCACCTCAAGAAGGACTTTCGACGACGACGAAACACACAAATCAGAATGAGGTTGGATGGCACTAGATTTTGTTGTGCTTACCCCTAAATTGTAGTCACCTAGTGTATGATTGTCGCCTCGACACCTTTGGGGGGACTCCAACCTCTCAAAAACGCAAGTTGAGCCTGCAAAGTCCTGGACAATGAATTGCTGATTATCTTTATCTAGTATGAATGGTGAAGTCAACGGGCGTCTATTGCTGGACCTGCTTCATTATTGCTATCGCTGGGGGTGAGCAGAGGCCAGATTTGACAAGCTGTATGCAAGAGTTTCTGGTATGCTACGGACGAAGCGGCCAACCTTTTACAGCATGCGGTCAATGAGAATAGTGCAATGGGCCATGACGCTGTCGGGCGGCGTTCAGGAGGTCGCAGACACATTTCAGTTAGGCGTCTAGTTCTGCAATACCGGGCATCGGCAGCATGTCTGGAAGAGTCTGAGAATTGCTAAGATATCTACATATACTCACGTGGAATTCAGGACGCTGACAGCAGTATTGGCAGACATTCTGGATTGCCCATCGGCTAGCGACGCGTGTTCGTCTCTACCAACGAATACCAGTCGTTGATACCAGACGCCAAAGGCTGGTCGAAACTTTGCGTACGCCTGGTAGCCAGGAAGCATCTCAGCATTGATGGTCTAGCCTGGAAGCCTTACAGCATTATTAAATGGCAGGGCTACGAATAAGAGAATACCTAAACATACTTTCAACCACGAAGACTATTTGCCGTGACACTTGGCTCCACAGATGCGGCCCCTTTTTTATGGCTATACAGCAATACTCTGCAGGAACAGAAAAGAAAAACCCCACTACACCATTGTACCAGCGCCAATAGGAATCGAACCTATTATGAATCAAATACCCTCTAAGCTCGACCGCAACTACAGGTGCGTGCCCCCGCACGACAAGGACAACACTTCTGCTGCTGCACTCAAGCCAGACCAGATACAACTGGGATTCGAACCCACGACCTTCGGGGAAGATGCAACGGCAACACTGCAGTATTGGCGCTGCCAGAAAATAAAAAACCCACTACACCATTGTACCAGCGCCAATAGGAATCGAACCTATTATGGGATCAAATACCCTCTAAGCTGGAACGACATCTCGGTCCAACGCGTGGCTTAAAGATGTCGCTATCTTGCTTAGACAAGTTAATACTACACCATTCCATGAATTAGCATGCGGGAACAATTGCCGCCTTACAAGATGCGAAATATGGTCCTCTTCTTAGAGTTCCTCAATTCGCTCAAATGGCCTCACACTATAATCATGTAAGAAATTTCTATGTCGCTAGGCATTCTGAGGCTGTGCTTAGGCGCCGGAACAGTCAGCCGACGGTAAGACTCTAGATCTACTTAGAATACCGACCCGAGAAGGGAAATATGCATGCTTCCGCTCTGCAGTGGACGTGCCCTGTGGGCCCGAACGAGCAAGGCTCATGATTACTTGTAGGTATCTCGAACGGGTCCTGCCCATGGAATTTTGCCAGAGTCGAGGGATAGGACTTTGAGACTCTACAAAATTTACATGAAGTTTCGTGTTAATCTACAAGTTGCGAACAAATGGGAGGCATCCACCAACTCTCTTCCTCACTTGAATTGTTTCTCAAGGATCGTCGCTTGGGCATCATCATGCGACACGCAGCTGTAGACGTACATGTTCCGTTTATCTGTCTTCTGCGAGTCCCCAAACAGTTTGTTATTGGTTCCCCTTTTCGTTGCATTACATGTATGATCTGCCGAACAAATGATTCGCTTCATATCGCCCACTGTCTCCGGTTCAGTGGCCACACCGAATTAGAATCGTAACTTTCATTGCCCACTTTGTGCGCAACGAACGCCGAGAGCTGAAAGTTGCAGAGTAGGTACAGAGAGAGCTTACGAACTGATGTGCTCGACCCTGTGGGGCAGTGCCGCGTTCAGTGGCAAGAAGTAACAGCTGATTTGAAAGCATGACTGCCTCAATGATCATGCGAAAGACGGAAATGAAGGTTAATCAGCCTTTGTTCCTGGAATTCTTCACCGCGCTGGAAGGCGCGATCCGTGATTTGTCCGTGGACAGCTCACCAGACTTCGGAAAACAGGCATTCTTTCCCACGGCTGACTTTGCCAGAGCTTTCGGTTTTCGGCGGTGAAGAATTCGGATCAGGTGTTGCCACTTGGTCCACGGGTTCGTGACCATGTTCGGCGAGACCGGACGTTCGAGTCAGCACCACCGACTTTTGCAATTCTAACGACTGCTTCTATTGCCAGCGAATAACCGGCAAATGGGTCTCCCGTCAACTTTATGACCGCCTACATCTCGTGAAATGAACTCGGTCATTCTTCTGTTATGGCCTTTGCATTGAATTTCGCAGCGGAGGGAGTCGCACCAATAGCAAAGTCGCCTCGCAAGCCTTCCGCTTCCGTCTCCACTGTTTGCTAGTGGATTTGGCTTGGGGCCGAAGGCATTGACCTCTCTGCATTTCCTAGAAGCAGGTGGGTCTTCCTTGGCTCGCGGGTGCCAGAAATATCCGCACATCTAAAAATTGAAAAGTCGATGATAATTTCACAATTAAGAGCCCTAGCTGAAGGTTCTTGCGAGATAATTGGAGGACCTCATCAATACAAATAGATCGCTCCGCAAAAGTTTATCCTTGAAGGGAACAATCATCGAGTTCTCTCAGCTGACAAGGTGGAGAGACTTCTTGGCGTGTGCGGATATTTCTGGCACCCGCGAGCTTGGCCATGCTGTACCCAATATTGGAAACATGAAGAGTTCAACGGAATACAAATGGAACGTATAGGCAGCCGTAACGGGAAAAAAAATTAGGTTGTGTGGGTGGCAATATGTGGCAAGGTGGCGATTACGCGTACTGTAGCTGGTGGCGTTTGATGCCCTTCCCTGCTTACTTGAGCGAAAATATGATGAGCAGATGTTGGTAGAAACTACGCAGAAAACTTCGGATTTGGGGTAAATCATCCAATGTACTTGGAGCAGAGGCTGCGTTTGTGCTGACGAGTAAGCGGTAGACCCCCTAAACTCCTGCAAATTCCAAGACTTCCGAGACCTGACAAGACCAAGGCCATTCTTCCTTCCATTCTCGTCGTATTGCGCCGTCTCGGGATTGAGTCATACTCTCACCGCCATTTGAGATACTTGGGAGGCTGACAGACCATCAACCGCAAAGTCGAGACTTTCTACGGGAGTCCTTCGTGTGTTCGTTGGGGAGGCGATGATGGAAAAGCAAATATTGCGGACCTCTTCCCTTTGTCTAGGAACCTGCTACCTGGAACGATACCGTTGTACAAACCCATACTGAAATGGACCCGTGGACTGGATAGAGCATCTCAATGACCTCTCAGAAAAAGACCTCCAACAATGGCTTCTATCAGGATCGAAGTTATACCCTTCCCATCTGTCTAAAGGAATACTACAAAAAGCACGAGGGATTCTTATCACCGGTATGATCGAAATTTATAGTCCTCTACATGGCTGGATTGCAGGCCACACCGGTCCGACCGTTGTCTTGAAATCCAAGGATGCTTTGCGAGAGGGACCACTCCTGTCATCGGAGTCTTTGCTTTGGCAGCTATGTTGCTTTTTCTCTAAGTACTCATGTCCTCGGTCATAGATCTATTCCACTTCTGTCTACCTCTCGAATTTGGCCATTCTAGTCCAGATGTAACGTGGATCATATAACGGTTGAAGTAGATACCGCGAGACTTTGAGGTGCAGGATGTATAAAATCCAGGAGAGACAACCACACCGGGGATATTTTGCGTACATCCAGTCTCTCGACCGCTAAACTACGACTCACAATGCATGTATTGTGCATCACCAAAGAAATCAAGATTGGTTAATTGTGATCCGCCAAGGCCTCGGGAGAAGAGTCACGTGTGCGTCTCGAGTATCTCGCTTTTTTCCCGTCCTACCACGACTTTCTGTCAGCATCTACAAATTGGAAGCATCGTCGGTACAAAAAGTCTCCAAGCCAAAGCTGTCTCTGGTTGGCTTGTCACAGCAGTTAAATTCGTGCTTTGAGTCATAGTGGATACAAGATTGCCGGTCAGACGGCATCGCTGGAAGGACAGAGACTTGTCGGCTTCTCCCAACCCTTGGTTTGGTCTCCAACGTCCAACAATCGTGTACTCATCTGCTGATTCAGAGTGTAAGATTTGAAGCTCGGCTTGAGCCAGCCACAGTTTCTAGTGTGCGTTTACAGAAGTCATCTCCACCAGACTGTGCGGGTCGTCTCGGTTTTCAGACAAGTCCCATACCAGTTTTGAACCCAAATTCGACATCATCCTTGGATAAGAGAAACCGGTCTTGATCCGAGTTGCTGCTTCACTGTGGCCACCAAAGCTGCTCTAAACGCCATGATGCCCAACCATGTCATTATGTGGTCATCCTGCATTAGTGTGAGGACATCAGCTTAAGTCGATTTTCGTGATGAGATATGTGATTGCTTCCAGATTGGGGATCACTCGACGAGTGCGACAATGAGTGCATGTCCTTACGTGGCAATACAACATACCCGAAGACGTTTTTGCGCTCGTGGCGTCAATTTTCCTACTCGACTTTCGAGTCAGACGATGTTTGCCGAATGCTTGGCTGGAAATGAAGACAGCAAACAATCGCTCTCCATAGTCTTTCTATCAATGCTAGCATGACAGCTTAGAATCTCGCCAAGTGTTCGCCGGAACATATTACATCCACCTCGAATTCGATTTTCTAGCACATTTTCACTCGGCTACTCGCAGCCGTTACTTCTGCTCACCATGCCTAACAGAGTACCAGTGGACATCTCGCGGTGGGCGAGAACGGACTGGTGGAGGCGCAGACCTAGTGTGGACGAATTGATCCTTCTCCACCATGAACTACACCAACTTGACAAATTCGCGCAAGTCATGTACCTGTACCCCTTTGGGAAAGATACAATGGCGAGGACAATCGAAGAATTAATCACAAGAAAGGACTATGAATTCTTCTTCGCAAGATTACAATCGTCGAACCAGATCGTGGGGTGGGTAGCGTTAAGCTTTGATATCGAGGGAAAGGAAGTGGAAAACAGGGCCGACTATGGAGCAAGACTGGAATGGACGGCAATGTGTTCGCACATACTTAAATTGTGGCAATTCGATAGCGCTGGCAAAAAAATCAACGTTTGGGACACGATCAAGCAGGCTTCTTCCAGTTTGCAGGCCAAACATCTTCCTCATGATCATTGCATTATTAACACATTTGTCTTGCATCCAGATTTCCAAAAGGCAGGCGTCGCAAATGGCTTGCTTGAGCACGCCGTCGAGTTATGGTCGGAACAGAATGGGCGACATGGGTGCAAGCTCCGTACTTCGCTCGAAATCTGTACAAGAGATGGCTTCGAAGAAGTCGGTGACTACGCAATTGATCTGGGTGATTATGGGTTTTGGCCCAAGGAAAAGAGAACGATTGTTGGAAAGTATGTCTGGAAGTTCATGGTCCTACGCGGGGCGAGTGGTTTAGCGACCGAAGAACCTGAGGGAGCACGGAAACATGATAACGGAAAAAGCAAGGAGCAACAACTGGAGAATGTGAGAGAGCATGTTGCTGCACGGAAACTCGACAAAGGTAAGGGCAAGGAGCAACAACCTACAACTAGGTGAAGACGATTACCTAGCGGGTGGAGAACCCTCAGAACATGACGAAGAACGAACTAAATGGGAAGAGGCGGAGCAACGACTCGAAGAAATACGTTCTAGGCGAGGCCTGCCTCCATTGCCTGGAGAGGTGGCATGCATGAGCAGAATCCAATGTAGAGCTGAAAATCGAGGACATGATCCTACAGGTCTATCGAAAGGCAAGGGCGTGGAGAAACGATCCAGAGACGCACGAACTGGGACGCCCGGGGAGCCGCTGAGACGCCCGCTTCAAAGTAACGCCGAAGTCACAGGTCAACCACAAGACGATTTCTGGCCAACGGGGTCGGAGGAAGACCTCATCGAAGTGATGAGAACGGGAGGGATAGATGAAGAGGAGATCAAACTGGTAGAAGCTCTGGCATTTAGCTTGAGCAATGAAGAAACGGACTTCCCTTCCCAAATGTGTTTCCGTACCGTTCATATGGAATTGGCTAATTGAACTAAACCTCACGTCTTATTATGTGTCCATTCTAGACAGTATTTGCGGCTTTGCTCACTGCGAACGTGAAGCCGCAAGCGTCTCTAGAAGATAATTTAGACATGCAAGTAAGTCTATGTGGCGTGCTTGGGTATTCCTGATGTCCCGATACTGATCTTCCACTCCAGACAAGTAAAGCGGCTTTCCCAAGATCTCTGATCAGCTTCCTCATAATCCCACAACGAGCCCATTTCCTCTACATCATCACCTCTAGAGTCCACAACTATGCCATCGCTGCTTCAAGAGGCGCCACAGCGAGCAGCAGCAACTAAAACCTTCAGCGCGTTGCCTCCACAGACCGCTATTGTTTATCGAACGAGCCACGGAATCAGAGGACTTTTCCAGCTCCAAGACAGCCAGTCCAGCCACAACTTTGACAAAACCGAAAACCCAATCTCCAATGACGGCTACATCGTTAACTAAGAAGCATTATCATCTATAAGTGAGAAGGCAGAACCGAGGACAAAGCGGGAAGATACCATTTTGCATAAGACAGAAAGCGAAGGTAGTGAGAGCCGAAAATATACCGTTGGGCATGGATGAGGAGCACTCGGTTGCAGGAGCAAAGAGGAAAGTCGCCGAGGAAGGTGACCAAGAGAAAGCTGCAGCGAGAATTTGCGAGACGGCAAGAGACATTGAGACTGTGGGGATGGTGGGCGCTGGAGAGGTGAACAATTCGTACATCTCTAAAACGGCAAGATAGACTGCGGGTTCAATGGGAAGACCGTGTTGGATCCCGGAAAGCCATCGAGACAAGGACTACCGGAGTAGGTGTATGACAAGCGTTCAACATGATCAGTCAAGGGCAGAGCGAGGGATTTTGTGTACGGATAGTGATACACAAACTTGAGAAGAGACATGCTAGCCATCCCAGCCGGGTTGCCGTTCGAGCGGAGACCTCTGGATCAGTCAGGACGTTTAAGAAACATCTTATCACACTCAACCATGAAAGCCTGCCCGACAGGGAAAGTCGATTGCGGCCAATGATGCCTAGGATGTCAGTCAACAATGCCACATCTGCAGACCCAGTTCTGGTCTAAGACTGCAATCACAGAGTGTTTCACTAAGCCTTTGTCCCTGTAAGTCAGGTCTGAAAGTCTACGGCAACATGCAGCTGAGACTGCAGGACAAATCTGGAAACCCTCAGCGTCTTGTCTTACCTTGTCTCCTTCTTAGTTCAGTCGCTACGCAGGTATTAAATACTGACGGCTTCCCACAATGGAGCTCGCGTCTCTCAGAACCAGCAGCCTCGCAATCTTCACACAACTGATCTTCGCCAGTCACGATCACCACCAAGAGATATGTCTGCCGAGTCTACGCTCCCTCTACGTCCGCACCTCCCACCGCAGGACTCACATCCTCTGCCAACAACAATATCTCCCCAGCAGCAATCCCCCTCCTCCTCAGCCGCGCGAGCTTCAGCTCCGGCAATGAGCGCCAGACCCCAGCGCGAAGCAGCAACGAAAGCCAGGAAGCGCGTCGAAGAGGCGTACACTCTCTATCCCTCCGAACAGGGCCCGGACTCAGACAGCGACGCCACTCCCACAAGACCGAGCGCGCCCCGGCCCACTCCTGTTCAATCGGACGATTCAAGCGACAGCGACAGCGACGTGTTCGTTGATGACTCGGAGTCGGATGGCCCTCGACCGAGCAAGGCGGTGCGGGGGAAGAAGAGGAAGAGAAGTGCGTCGCTGTTGAGGGATGTAGGAGAGAGGGGGGAGAGCAAGGCTGGGAGGTTGTTGGAGATGGATGATAGGAAAGCGAAGGAGGATGCGACGGGGTTCATGGTCAAATGTGGGAATATGATGGAGGATATTTTGGTGAGGAAGGCGGGTCCGGCTCCGAGGGTATCTTCCCCGAGGCCAAGGGAGAAGACCCAGGCTTTTGGCCAGCACCCTGTTATGCGTCGAGCTGGACTCAGTGACATGGGCCCTGTGACTGGCAGCCACACGTGCGGTTGGCGGGATGAGGTTTGGAACAGGGCGGCTGAGGGATTCGCTGTCCAGAGCAGGAAAGGTGGAGCAAGAGGACCTGGTGATGGCAGTGGATATCGAGCATCAAGATTCTGTGAGCATTTGTGACCGAGAAGCATACAGTAGAAGCGTACTCGGTGTCATGGGTCTCGGGGCAGGCGTTCGGGCGCAGGGGCATGTTTGTAGACCAAGTATGATTGACTCCAAATATTAGCAATGGTATCTTCGCTCCTATGCCGGATCCTGCAGCACTCTTGACTCCTCGCTATGCATCTTGAACCAAGAAAACCCTTCACCTCCATTAGTCATAATAACTGCCTCCCCCTTCATCACCACCAGCGTCATAGTCGTCCCCAGCATCATCCCCTCCGTCGTCGAAGTACTGCTCCGCATTGTAATCACCCCCATCTTCCTCGTCATCGAATTCATCATCCACCTCTTCCCCCTCCGGCACGTCCTCATCATCTGGGTCCCTCTCTTCCTTCACATCCACTTCGTCCTCCGACATCTCGGCGTCTTTCTCGTAGCCAGAGAGTTGTAAGGATTTGCCTTTGGTATCCGTGTTGATGACGCCGTTGGTTTCGGTAGCGGAGGGATCGATCGTGGACCAGAGTTCCTTGGGGAAGAATTTGAGCACTAGATCCCTTCAGCACATTACCCGCACCAATCTGTCTCCGTAGCAGCACGAACCGTAGGGTCTCGTATCCAACTTGGGAATCATCCTCTTCTTCTTCGTATACCTCTGACTATACTTCGGCATCCCCTCAAACGGATTGAACGCCGCGGCAGCCGACGTCCCAGACTTGCCCACCCGTACATTGTCTCCGAGCACGGTGTAGAGAGGGCCGTTTTTGATGCTTTCTCGCAATTTGCGGAAGTGGGCGACTTGGGATTTCTCCTTTTCGGTCAGGGGCTTTGGCTTGGGGATTTGGAAGGCCTGGGCAGGTATCAGTGGGGGTGGTCGGAAGGAGGGATTGGGTAATTGAGTACAGGGTATAGAGGCGTGGGCTTGGGCTTGTCGAGATCGAGTTCGGGGTCCCAGGGGAGGTCTACCCCGCCGATTCTGTAGAGGTCGCCTTTGCCTTCCTTTTTGATGCGGGGACCTTGCTTTGCTTTCGCAGCTCCAGCCATGTCGTAGTGGTTTTGCGTCCAACGATCGTGCCTGGAGATGGTTCAGCAAAATTCCGTGCAGGTATGATTTAGTCACTTTATATAGTGGGGTCGGGGACACTGGCGGGGCTGAATCCAATCCACTCACTGCAGCTGGTTCCATCTTGGCGGGTACTTGTCCCGCTTGTAGTAGTAAATGCCCGGCATTGTGAATAAAACCTCAGGCCATGCTAATGGTCACAGTTTCTTGGCCTCCATGCTCGCCGTCACGTGTTGATTTGTGGTTGCGTGGAGGAAGAGGAAGGCGTGTTTGCAAAATACCTACTCATTTCCTCGTCATCACACCGTGACGACGACGCGAGATGGCTCTCCCAGCGCTTTTAGGCCAGGTGCATTCCCATTTGGAAGAAGTGCGAAACGATCCTAGAAAAAGCCTGAATGACAAGCTACTGGAACACGTTGACAGGCAGGTTACTGGTATGTGGCGCATGTTTTCAGGACTTCACGTGGCCGCATTGCTGGGGCTGTCTGCCCCCGGAACTCGTATATACTGATAGCAAGCTACCAGAAACGATTGAAGAATCATGGAGAGATACCCTCCTCAACCAGCTTTCGGACCTCCTCCCAACACTACAGCAAGACCCTACGCCGGTAACGAACCTCATCAACGTCCTCACCCTGCCTGCGACATATGACTTCACACGCGTTCTGACGATCCAACCACCGGTCGATTTCACAGCTGGCTTTACATCCTCCTTACCCTCTATCAACCTTGCCGTCCTCTCCCTCCTCGAGAAGGCGACGTACCGAAAAAGCGACATCGATATAGTGGCTGGAAAGGCTGACGTGGTGGCAGCTTTGGTCAAATTATGGCTGTGCACCCCAGATACAGCAGTGGCAGGACGGGCCCATGACGTGATAGTGGGGCTATTATTGGCAAATGAAGGGGAGCATACCATGAGTGACAGTGGGATCATGGATGAGGGCCTGATCTGGAGGAGAATCTTGCGTGACAGAGACATCTACGGCTCCATATTTTCGATCTGTAGCCTCAACACAGCAGGTCAGGAAGGGCCACTGTCCAAGAGAGAAAAGACGGTCTCTCAGGCAAGGCTGCTGGATATGCTCCTAAAGATCGACTCGAGTCCCGTGAGGACGTCACAGATACCAGAGATTGAGCAACAATTCGGTGTCAATAACGGTGGGCTGCTGCACTTTGCAGCTATTCATATGGTTGAATACCAGGACGATGTGCTAATGCATATGACCTTGATTGAATTTTATGCCAACTACCTGGGTACAAGCCACACATATGCGCTTCATTTCCTACGAAGCAATGGACTCCATGACCGTGCATTGGCATATTACCTTGAACCCGAGAAGCAAGACTCACTGGACCTCACGTATCTGTACGGTGCGTCGGCAAAATACCTTTCAACCTACTGCTCAACATTTCCTCAGGACCTACTTCCGTCACCGCTTGCGGGCCACATCCTCTCGCGCGTTACACAAGCAGTCGAGAACACTTCCTCGATCCAGTGGGCACAGGGGAAGATCCCCAAACACGACCTTCGTGTTTTGGTATCTCTCCCACGTGTTATGCTCATACCGAGGACACAGGCCAGCTCTCCGTTGTTCTTGATACCCGTGAAGCCCGCAAATCCGGACGCCTTTGCGGCTTTGGCTCACATTCTGCATGGTAGCCACGGGGGTAAGCCCGAAGAACGAGCCGCTGCAAGGGCACTTTACTACTTGGAAATGGAAAACATCTCGACTTTTTGGGGACGTGTCGTGGCTGCAGCTGATACCGTGGCGCTCAAAGAGAGCGCATTGTCGGCTCTCTCGTTGATCGGAGCGGTCATTACAGCGAAATGGTCACCACTTCCAGATACCGAACCTTCGGGCTCTACCCCGTTCAGACTTCCATCGGAAGGGGAATTAGCCAGCAAGTGTAACGCTGCATCGCTTCCAAAATCAGGAATCGAGGCCATCATGAGTCAGCCAGCTCTTGGAATAGTCGTCCCGTACCTGATGAGGCCACCTCAAAGTTTCGGCAATCTTGTGAGCGGAGGCCGGGGGGATGTTGAAAGCGCTGTGTATCAGATTGCTGCTGCTAAGCATGATGTGCTTACACTGCTGCACATGAAGCTCAAGGCGTGGGTAGGAACCCGGGCCGAGGGTCAGGAGATGGTGGCAGCTGTTGAAAGACGGGTCATGCAGGGGGCGATGGGTGGCACGGGTGAGGTTGGAGGCCGCGTTGGAACAATGGAGTCGTGAGCATGGGGGGTTAGTGACCTCACAAGAGCATTCATCGGGCGTTCATTCTTATTAGGGAGACGCAAAAATTAGCGGCATGATACCCATGGAGTCATGGACTTTGTCAAAGGATTGATACACACACAGCGTGGCCAGCTGCTGCTCATTCTTCAGAGTAATAGCGGCTAGCCACTGGGTTTGAGAGTATGCATGCGTTACGTTCAATAGCTTAGCATAAATTCTATGCCAATACAAAAAGAACGTGTCCTGCCCTCAGATTATAAACAAGGTCATCAAAGGACACAGCCTATACAGTAACAACAGATCCACAATCCAAACCGCCACTTTTCCTCCACAGCTTGCCAAAAGCCCGTCGGGCCAATCGACCACGGGCTCTTGCGTTTCGCCGACCCCTTGAGTGAGTGAGTCATGATAGACCCTTCCCAACCAACTCATCATCCGACATTACTCTTACACGTCCGCACGCCTTTCCACCGCACAGAGTCCAGAACACCATCCCGCCCAAGCCTTCAGATCCCTCATTCCCCAAGCAATCGCCTAGAGTACGCGTACGAGTACATGACCTTGGATCCGCCGGGCAAAACCTCCCAGCTCCCGAATCCCAAATCCCCCTCGGTCCACCATCGTCCGAGATTTTTCTTACACGTGCATGGCTTTTTTTCCTTTTTTTCCACCAAGCCTTTAGATCCCTCGGTCGAAAACATTCGCAGGCGTGACTTTTGGATCCACTGGGCAAACTCCCAGCTCCCCCATCCACCCACCCCTCCCCCGCGCCAAACCCGTTAGTCCACGATCACGTGGACCAACTTCTTGTCGCTGCCGTGCTCCAACTCGATCCAATTCCGGTAATTGCCCCGGGTCTGGTCGTCGGGCCACTTGCCCATCCAGACCGCGCCGAACCGGGCGTCGGAAAGCCGGGGCGACCGATCCGGGGGCGTTTTGTAGAGGATGTGGCGGAAGAAGGGTTTCAGGACCGGCATGCAGCCGCAGATCAGACCCGTGTTGATTTCGACGGCGCTGTACAAGTAGAGAAGAGAGAGGATCAGTGCTGGAAGGTCTGGGTTGGGGGGGGGGGGGGGGGAAGGCGGAATCCTTACGTTAGGAGGAAGGTCCTTGCGTCCAGCCAGGCGGTGTCGGGGGCGTTGAGGTTTTGGACTAGAAGGGCGAATCGGACGGTGGTCACTGCGCAATTGCTGCGGGGAGGTTAGTCTGCCCGTTTGTAATATTTGAGTGGATGGTGGCGTACGCGATCCCACTCATGAATATCAAAACCAGTCCGAACTTTTCTCTAGGAGACAGCCGCAGCTGCCATACCATCGGCAAAGGTAGAAGAAATAGCAACACATCGGAAATGACATTCATTGACCCGTAGGCATAGTCAGCGTGAACGAGAACGATGCAGTGGCCGGGTTCGTCAGGCTTCCAGTATTTCGATATTGGCGTGCAGCCGAAGAGCAAGGTGATGAAGTTGGAGGATAAATAGCCAGTAACAAAGACCAGCACGGCCCACGTTGCGTACTTGAAAGACTGGTTGACCCCGAACAATCGGAGGTACATCAGCAGCAGGGCTATTCTATAGCCGAGGATGCTGAGTAGATACATGGCCGAGGAGATGTATATCCACTGTGGTGGGACCCATCAGCCAGGGCTTTGGGGAATACCATGGGAACGAGTATTCGTACTTTAACGTGGTCAGACACCAGCTCCGGTGTCATCTATCGCGAGTATTGGAGTCAGCATTCCCTCATCGAGACATGGAAATGAATGATGAGAGATGTCTAGGGACTCGGATGGTGCTGAAGGGGAGGCTTTGCCTGTGAGACATATCCCATGACCGGAACGACGACACTGATTGTGATTGATTGTGGTTGAAGAGTAAAGACTCGGGTCCTGAACTTACATCCCCGAGATGAAGACCCATTCCATATCGCGTGGAAACGCCAAGGACAACACTGAAAGTTATGGAAAACAGCAAAGTGACCATGGCCGCATAATCGTCCCAACCAAGATTATGAGTGACGAATATCCTGGTCCAGACTCTGATATAAACGATAACTGTGGTTACTATTGGACAGACTACACAGGTGATGATGATATCATGAGCCAGGCTAGGAACATGCTGGGGAAGTTGGGGCGACATTGCACCGATGAACTATGCTCTGTGATATGGTGCTGGAAACTGCGTGTGTACGCACAAACAGGCAGTTCATCTATTCCTTTGTTGCGAAAGAAAGATGTTCAAGTACGAAAGTCGAACACTCAGCCTCAGCCGCGGGGGGCACGAATCCTTCGCCGCCGCGCGGGGCCCGGGCCTCGAACGGAGGAAAGGAAATCAGAAAATATCTCTATAAGGTAAGGTAGGATTGACGAATTCTACTCCAATGCAGAAGCAGGTAAGCTGACATGCAGCTACAACTTTGGTATCATGGAAAATAAAGCGACTCGAAAATGGTAGAAAGGTAGTAGGCTGGCAAACTGAGGATTTATCTATCGGACCATCGGACTAAGTGTTACACCGTCTTGGAATTTGGTGGTGTGATAAGCGTCACATCGAAGGAATAATAAGAATTATAAATGCGAACTGGATGCACAAGAATTGTGACTTGCGAGACGGGGAAGGGGAGAAGCAGACTTCTAGACCGACATTTAGCGCGGAAAAGGCATCCCGTTTCGCTTGACTGCGGGAAGCTCAAGGCAGTCAGCTGCGTTCGCTGCAGCCATAATGCTGACCTCGCACCCAAATTGCCTGGCTTCCTCGGTTCATGTATGCACGAGCAACAAAAAGAAGCAATTGCGTGGACGATCAGTGCAAGGATTGGTTATCCTTGCGCAATGTGGCCAATAGAGATTCGTCTTGGTGTGAGGTGATGTTGAAAGGGTGTCCAGGGCGTTGATGCTACTGCTGCTGGAGGAAGTTCGGGGGAAGCGAAGGCGGTAATGCTGCGCTGGAACAGATCGGAATCGGAACCGAGGGTGCTGCGCTGGAGCAGGTTGGTTACGGAGCCGAGGATGTTAATTCTGCAGCTGGAGCGGGAGCTGCGAAAAAGGTAAGGCCGATAACGCTGCTGCTAGAGGAAGCTCGGAGAGCAAGAGGGGGGAGATGGAATGCGCTGGAGTAGGTTGGAAGGTAAACAAGGGCGAGGATGCTGCTGCTGCTGATGAAGGGGGAGATAGAGCTGCTGGGGCAATATAATTAGAGGGGCAGGGCGAAGGGACTTCAAATCTGTTATAGGGATCGATGGGTGGGACAGCCAGGAAGAATACCGCGATGCTGGTACTTGACCATTCGGAGGTTTTGCAATTACCGATGGTTCACCTCCAGCTTTTGTAGGAGGCGAAGAAATCAATTTTATCGAACACCGGCAGCATGATGGAAGCAATCGGATCTTCGCGGTCCAGAGACTAAGAGCTTCTTGCGTGGACACTGTCGAATCAGCTACGCTGGCCCGATAGATGTGTAGACATAGAGAATGCTGCGCAAGAAATCCCGTTTTAAGGGGAAAGAAAAAAACCCCAATCAAATGTCTCTTGGAAAGGCCAAACAACTATACGAAAGTACTCCGGGCACTGAAGCTGTTCGCCTAGATTAATAAGTTCTGGAGCAGAAAAGGAAACAGTATTATTATCGAAGCGATGAATTAATTATTGAGTGAAGAAACACTGGGCGGCTGAAAGGCTTAGGTACTAGTACTCTAGTGCTTTAAGTTAGCTAGTGGAGGCGCAAATTTAGGGAGGGCGGCCACCACGGCTTTAAGGTACTTTAGGCAGCAGATCGCGCCATGTCTTAGGCAGAAGGTCGTTGGAAGGTGGCTCAAGCGGCCACGCCCGTGCGAGTTCCCACTGAGTGGGGGCATCACATCCCCATCCTTCCCGCCGTCACACATGCATCTATTTTCCATCATTCAAAGATGACAGCAGAGGGAGATGGGCCCAGTGATGTTCCATTGACCCAGCGACTCCGTCAGTATCAAACGCCCTAAGTCTTATGTCTCGACCGAATGCTAAATCCCGTAGAGAGAGCCTCCAGCCAGCCTGAGAACCCGTTCGCTGCTCTGATTCCCAATCAGCACATCGCCATCGTACCATCCTTCACCCTCGAGTCTGGAGTCACTCTCCGCAATGTTCCAGTCGCATATACCACTCGGGGGAGACTGGCTCCAGAGGGAGGTAACGCCTTGGTGATATGCCATGCTCTGTCTGGAAGTGCCGATGTCGCTGATTGGTGGGGCCCACTGATGGGAGGGCGTGGACGTGCCTTCGATATGACCAGGTTCTTTATTGTCTGTCTGAACAGCTTAGGAAGTCCCTACGGAAGTGCAAGCCCTGTCACCAGTGTGGACGGAGATGCAAACCGCGAGCGTTACGGCCCCGAGTTCCCTTTGACCACGATCCGGGACGACGTCAAGTACGTGCTTCTTACATTTACTTCTCCAATAGTATCTGACATACAGCAGCATACACAAGCTCGTTCTGGATGACCTGGGTGTGAAAAAAATTGCAGCGGCTGTTGGTGGATCTATGGGAGGCATGCTGGTCCTGGAATATGCTTACTTCGGCATCGGCTACGTTCGAGCAATAGTACCAATAGCAACTTCAAGCTGTCATAGTGCTTGGTGTATCAGCTGGGGCGAGGCGCAGCGGCAAAGCATATACTGTGATCCCAAATACGAAGACGGTTATTACGCCTTCAATGACCCACCGGCAGCAGGGCTCGGGGCTGCTCGCATGTCGGCCTTGCTGACGTATAGAAGCCGCGATTCCTTCGTGGCAAGGTTCGGAAGAAACATTCCAGATCCCTCGCGAAGGCAGGCCATCAATGATAGTCAACGTCCATCAACACCATCGAATGAGCACTGGGCGGTACACAATGAGGGTCACAGGAGCTCTCGCACGACTCGACCGCCCAGTGTCCATGAAGACACGTCGGCTCCTACCCCTCAATCCGATGCGCCGCAATCTGTTGCGAATGACAAGGCAGCTCAATTCACTGACCCTCAGTTCCATGGAGCTACAACTTTCGTGCCACCTACCCCGCCAGCACCCCTGACGGAATTCTCCACCCAATCATATCTACGGTACCAAGGAGGAAAGTTTGTGAAGCGTTTTGACAGCAATTGCTACATCGCTATCACAAGGAAGCTGGATACACATGACGTCTCAAGGTATCGGGTACCTCCGGATATACCTAATCCAGCCGCAGTGGCACTGTCTCAGATCCAGCAGCCAGCTCTTGTGATCGGCATCGAGAGCGATGGATTGTTCACATTTGCAGAACAGCAAGAGATAGCAGCCGCAATACCGGACTCAAGGTTGCGGAAAATCGACAGTCCAGAAGGCCATGATGCTTTCTTGCTGCAGTTCGAGCAGGTGAACAAGCACATTGTAGAGTTCTTCAACGAGGTGCTTCCCGATATCATGGAGGCGCCAGGACTCAATTTACATGACGACGGGGGTGACGAACAGCAGGGAGTGACGACAATGGGAAAAAGCAGCACATTTGGCGAAGCCGAAGTTGGCGATATCACGGCCTGGTAACGCAGTTGTCACCTGCGCCGTCAGGGACTGTGGGTTAAGTGCCAGACATCACGGGAGATTTATATTTGATACCCTTGCAATTCTATCTATAGCATCTTCATCCATCATGGAAAAGTTCTCTCTCCTCTGTCGATTTGTGGAAGGCTTCAGGTTCTTCGAACCTCGACCAGCGGAGATCCCTAAGCATGGAACAATCTCTTTACTAGGCTAGCCACTCGCCAAGGTCGATCATCGCTGGTGCCACAGGCCCGAGCAATGGCAAACCCTGCTGGTGTGGGTGTTTATGTCCTGATAGGTTTTGAAAATTACTTCCTCATACCTTCCAAAGACCTGTTCACAGTATCAGACTCCACAAGGAAGACATTGCACGACTCGACTGCCACACGGCACATCGGATCATGGTAGTCTCGAATCAATAGACAGAGCCGATGCATAGTATTCGAGCCAAGGCATCGTTTTTTCAAGCCTTCGCCTCCGCCTCCATAATCCGCGGCAGCAAAGAAAATCGACGAGCTCTACCAACAGACAGCCCACTGTCCCACCAAGAGCGCCATCGCCATCAAGAAAACGCCATTGACGTGCTGACGACTTACCCCGCCTGCTCCCTTCTAGGGCGCCCACAACCCGAAAACCGCACTCATTCCGTGACCCCGCCAAAAGCCGCTCTCTCATCCCTCGCGGTCGATGTTCCGTCATCGTACAGCGCCCTTTCGTCTCGGATGTCCAGCCGGTATCTATCGACTTCACGAGGCGGAATGGGTGGGTCTGGGGAATCGACAGGCGAGGACGGACTGCGTGATGGGTGGGGATCTGCTCTATTTCGGGGTCCTTGTGCATAATGGGTATGGCAGTATATACTATGAGGTTTCTGGGTGAGGAAGCGAATTTGGTTGCGCTGGCCATCGTCTGCGGTGGTCACGAGGGACATGGCCAGAGTGATGTACATAATTTTAGTCCGTTCAGGCCACGCTATGCATCGACAAGGTCTCTGATAATGCCATCAGCCTCGCTATGCCTAAACCACTACGAGTCGAACAACGCGTCTTTAAGAATGGTACAAGCCTCCGTGTAATGCAATGTAGCCTCTGGATCTACACTAAAGGGGTATGGACTTTTATCAAATCCGTGTCGCTTTTCCTTGATGATCACAAGGTGAACCCTTTTACCCAGCCCTTTCAACCTTTCGGCAAATACCTCGCCTTCCTGTAAGAGCATGTCCCATTCGCACAAATACATCGCTACGCCTTCCGGAATGGCAGCGGTGAGGTCCGCGTCGGTTGCTGCAGCCGGAGAAGCGTAGGGGGACATTCTGTTCTCGAGTTCCGGTAGGTAGGATTCGTCAAAGAGGGAGGTGAGGATTGGTGGCAATGTCTTCCCAGGTCGGACACATGAGGCTCGTCGTTCGTCCCGGGTGAGTCGGTTGTCTAGGCTGGGGTACCATGCTATTATAGAGACTATCTCGGGCAGCGGTGGACCCGACAGTGTCCTGTCCGTCCCGTTCGATTGTGAGGCTTCCATGGGTTTAGACTGATACTCGTTCCTAGTGGATTGAATATGCGTTCTTAAGCGGAGAGGCATCGTGAATGCCATGTTGCCTCCGGCTGAAAAGCCAGTCAAAGCCATCTTGTGCGGGTTGAGACCGAGTTCGTCGGCATTTGCTGCTAGATGGAGCAGCGCTTCGACACCGTCTTCCACCGCTGTTGGGAAAGGATATTCGGGCGCCAGTCTGTATTCCACGCTCACGAACACGGCCTCCACCTGTTTTACCACCATGGTCGCCCATCGTCCGTCATCCTTTGCCGTTCCCAATGTGAAACCCCCGCCATGCATGTTGACCACCAATGGGTATTTCCTTCCTTGTTGGATTTGACTCTGGTAGCCATCTGGTACGTAAAAGGCAAGATGGAGCATGGTGGCCTGCCCGCTTACCACGGTGGTGGGGAACTTGCGGAGGAAGGAGGGCTCTTTCGGTGATGGGGTTGGGATACTGTGGAAGTAGAGGCCGACTTGTCCGAGGAATCGCCAGACATTTGCTTGAGCGGAAAGCCACCATCGTGGATGTGGCTTCCGTTGATGATTTGCGGGTATCGGGATGGTCTTGGAGGGGCCTTCGTTTGAGGGGACGGGACGGATCTGGGTGGACATAATGCGGAAAAGAGGGCTAAGTGAGATGTCGAGCTCCTTAGTTATTGGGTTCTCCCTCGCCCGGATGGGGGCTGTTAGGGTAGAGTTGTTGAGTCCGTCACATCTGTATGAGGCTTATCCACCAATGATGGCAGGTCAAGTACCTAACCGAGCTGATCTCGAGGCTGGCCTCATTAGGAGTAGAGTACTCGTATGACCCGGAGTACTCTACCTTAGAGATCAACGGTAAAGTAAGGAGAACGTTTGACCTCACACTCCCTCATTTTCAGGTTCCGAAATTGAATTGCCTTTCCGATCACCAACTTGACAAATGTGAGGAAGTTGCATTCTCACTTTGTAAGAAGCCCCCAGCCGGAGTCATCTTCTCAATAAATCACTTCCTATTAAACCCTCCACCATGTCCTTGCTCAGCGATGCTGTATTAAAGATTAAGCACACTGAGAAAAAGAGCAGCCAAGATCATATGGCGGTAGACGGCCCAAGACTAAAGGTACGAATACGAACGGACGCGCCACATGATGGTGCCAGCAGCGAGCTTCTGAATTAAGACGGCCAACCTTTAAGCATAAACCAAACGAGAAAATTCGCCCACAGAAGCGATAAGCGCCAGAGCAATGTCAACAACGAGAAACAGAGGGAGGAGGCTACGCAGCACAGAAGGGAGAATGACGGCAAGGCACGTCAGCAGGAGACTGAGGAGATCAGACGTCGATATGGCGACCTGCCTCTGGTCCAATCGAGAGACCGCAAACGTGAGCAGCGAGCCCAGCTCAAGACCGTGTCGGTGGAGGACGTTGGCCAGGAGATCACCTTCCGATGCTGCATCCATACTGTTCGCAAGATGAGCGCCAAGCTGGCTTTCGTTGTGTTCCGGCAACAGTTGGGAACTGTATAAGGTGTCATACACCAAGAAGAAGGGGCTGTCTCACAACTTATGGTGCAATGGATAGAGCGCATTCCAACCGGCTCGATTATTATTGTCACAGGCCAGATCAAGAAACCTGATCGGCCAGTGACCGGCACCACCAAACACGACGTCGAGATCTCAATACGCGAGCTCCATGTGGTATTTTAGACGTCCTCAGGCAGTACCTTTCACAGTCTACGAAGATGAGGTTTCTAGGCAGAAGGAGTTGGACGACGACGACGACGCCGCCGGTACAGGAAGCCACATCACAGATCGCGCCAGACTGACTCATCGCATACTCGATCTACGTACATCGACATCAAAGGCCATCTTTCGCATTAACGCCGGGGTCTGCAATCTCTTCTGTTCTTATCTTGATTCTTAGGGATTTATTGAGATACACACGCCCAAATTACAAGGCGGCGCAACGGAATCCGGTTCCAGTGTATTTCAGCTTGATGACTACTTTGGACGACCCGCACTCGTTGCACAGAGTCCTCAGTTGGCAAAACAGATGTGTATAGCTGCAGACTACGAAAAGGTTTACGAAATTGGGCCGGTCTTTCGGGCAAAAAACAGCAACACCCCCAGACACTTGACAGAGTACACTGGTCTGGATCTTGAGATGGCCATTGAAAAGCACTACCATGAGGCTTTGGAAGTGATCGATGGAGTGCTGAAGCATATCTTCAAGGGTATAAACGAACGTTTTCGCGATGAGCTTGGAGCAGCCAAGAGACATTTTCCGCACGAGGATTTGGTGTGGCTGGATAAGACCCCCAGGATACCTTTCAAGGAGGGAGTGCAGATGCTTATAGATTCCAGCTGGACCGACGAGAGTGGCAACCCCCCCTCGCCTTTGGAAGACATACATACGAGAGACGAGATCCTGCCTGGCGAGCTCGTTAACGAGAGGTACCATACAGATTACTACATACTTGACAACTTGACAGCTTCCGCACGGCCTTTCTACACTATGCCCGACCCCAACGATCCGAAAGTTACGAACACGTTCGATCTGTTCCTACGCGGCCAAGAGATCCTGACCAGCGGGCAGCGTATACATGATGCACAGATGTTGGAGGAGCAGATGAAGGCGCAAGGGGTAGATTCTTCAAGTATGGAGGATTATATGGACGGCTTCTGATACGCTACACCGCCACATGCAGGCGCAGGCATAGGACTCGAGAAAATTATCATGCTTTTGCTCCAGCTTGGCAATATACGGTTCGCATCCCTGTTTCACCGAGATCCTAAGAGTCTTACAGCCAAACCTCAGGCGCCCCAGCTCCGCCACCTCAAAGACAGTACTCTTGATCCGCCTTGGGAAGGGTCAGCCTGTCATGACATGAGCACAACGCAGCCTCTTGAAAACCACATTGCCAACTACGGAGACGCGTCAAACACTTCCTGGACGGAGGAGCGTAATCGGATTTGGCGTCACGGGGAGACAGGTGCTGCGGTTTCCTGGGTTCCCATTCACGGACACGCTATACTGCCTGGCAATCCATTGTGATGAGAGCCAATACACCAAGGTAGCAAGTGCTTTCTTGAAGTGGCTAAAGAAAGAACTCTCCCATCTGAAACCTATATGGGTGCTAGTGGGCCCTGGATTCGAGGAGGTGTCGGGCTCGATCTTCGGTTGGAAGACTTTTACATGCGCGGCTGAAGAGCGTGTTGATGCTACAAAAAGCGTTGGCTCACATGATCACGACGTTGCAAGAAAGATCCGTCATGCAGAGAAAGGGGTTTAACAATCAAGGAATTGGAGGAAGGAGAGGAGGTGCCAGAGGATCTCAGGTCTCAAACCGATGAGCGCATTCAAGATTGGTTGGCAGGCCGCAAAGAAAAGCAAATCCATATCTCCGGTATCACCCCATGGCGGGACATGATGCACCGACGGTACTTTTTTTGCTTAGGACAAAGAAGGAAAGGTCCAGTCTCTCGTTGTCCTTGCACAACTGTCTCCCAAGCATGGCCATTAAGTTAAATTCAGTCTACATTTCCCTGGCGCGCCATCAGGCACCATTGAGCATGCCATTCTGCATGCCATGCAAGTGGCCAAGGGCTCAGACACCATCAACTTGACTTTCCGAGCCGCCGCTTCCTCCGAGCTGCATGCTTCGCACCACATGTCTGGCATGAGGGTCAGGATGCTCCAGCGCATCTACCAGACAATCGCGAAAGAATTCAAACTCACACAGAAGAGCGGTTTCAGACAAAAGTTGGGTGGAGTGGAGGGCCCTATCTACGTGTGCTACCCACCTCATGGTCTGGCCCTCAGTGGAGGCCGCGCTATTGTAGGATTCTTTGAGGAAGGACCTGAAGATGACGATGAGTGAACAGGATAGAGGCTCATTCTGAATCGTTTTATTAGCGTTTAGAGTAGAGATATCATCACAGTCTCCTTTTTTCCTAATGAGCGGTGTTCTCCCTCTGTTGTCGATGATTCTGTCACCTGTTCATAGGCTCACTCCTCGACATTAGCTAAGCGCCAGGCCCAGTGCGCATGATTCCTCGTGCCTGTGATGTACATGTATACTCAGGAGTCGAGACTCGAGGACAAAGGAGTGGCCCTTTCTTTATTCTATTTTGAGACCAAGGCCGAGTGAGTGGAGGATCTTGGCCCTGGGATCTGGAGTTCTCGATCTTCCGCAATCTTCGCCAGCGCTTAATTCCTGGGCCACAGCGGTCACCATCCAACCACTTGTTAGCTCGATATTTGACACTACACAAGATGCTGCATTTTGATGATTTGGTCCTGATGGACTTTGCAAGCGGTTTCAACTTATGTGGATTTGGAAGTAGCGATTACCATCTCCATTTTCACTCGAAACGGAACGTCGCATTTGTGTAAATGCACATGGCCCCTTCCTCCCCAGGATGCTTCCTTTACTTCGCCTGGTACTATTGTTGATTCGCGCGGCTTCCTTTGTCAATAACACATTCAACCACTCATTAGGCTCTCTTCTTAAATACAAGCCACGCAATCAACACGAACAATGATTTCATTGTAGACGCTCTTTCATTCATTTCACGTGGCGCCACCACTCAATCAACGCTCCTTTCCAGACCTTATCACTATACAGCTGCGCTGCGCAACGACTATTGTCAACCTTACCACCACACTCATTCACTTCATAGGTCAGTGCCTACAATCACTGTTACACGCGACTCGAATACCGCACCAGACAACAGACTGCAGACTCTCATTCGGCTTTATTGCCACTCAACTGAGAACCCCAAATTACATACGAGTATCGACGCCACTATGCATCTATCCCTCCCAAAATTAGCCCTGGCGGCCTTCTTCCTCGAATGTGTCTATGCCCACCCAGCGCATTGGCTCCTCCATCGCAAAAACAGGCGCGACGAGTATTCGGGCGTGAATTGGAACGATCCTTCTCTCTACAAGAACGTAGATTGGAGTACCGTCAACTACGGTGGCGGTTCCACTCCGACGCCAACCACTACTTCGACTCCCGCCGCTGCTCCGACTCCCGCGCAGGCTGCGCCAGTCGTCGAGGCCTCGCCCTCCCCATCGCCCGCCGCAAATCAAGGATCAACAACCAGCAATTCCGGCACCAGCAGCAACAGTAACTCCGGTACTACTACCAGCAGCTCTGGAAAGCGCGGTCTTGCTTACAACCCTAGCTCGGGAAATCTCAACATCTGGTCCAGCTACAGTCAACTATCATGGGGCTACAACTGGGACGACACGCCTCAAGGCCTCCCATCGAAGTTCCAGTACGTTCCCACTTTGTGGGGCACTGCATCCATTCACTCAGACAACTGGGACTCGGCCGCCAAAGCCGCAACCTCTGGCTCCGGGCCCAACTACCTCATGTCGTTCAACGAACCCGATAATGAAAGCCAAGCGAATATGGACGTCGGCTCCGCTGTCGCGGGCTTCAACCAGTATATGAAACCATACGCCAGCGACAACGTGTTACTCGGCTCTCCGAGTGTGACTAACGGCGCCGGCACAAACGGCGCCGGGATCCCCCAAGGACTCGACTGGCTTTCCCCCTTTCTAGAACAATGCACAGGGTGCCCCATATCGTTCGTCCCAATCCACTGGTACGGCTGCCAAAATGGCTGCGCAGTCTCCTCCGACGTCAGCGACTTTCAATCTCATGTTCAGTCGGCGATCGAAGCAGCTGTGAACCCAGCGACTGGGGAGAAGGTGCCGGTGTGGGTTACAGAGTTTCAATCATTTACGGATCCAGAGAGCTTCCTTGGTGAGATACTGCCCTGGTTGGATGGGCAGAGTGGTGTAGAGAGATATGCTTATTTCATGGCTACGGATGGGATTCTTGTGAGTGGGGGAAGTGTGAATGCGGTGGGGGCGAAGTATGCTTCTTAGAATATAAGATTGGGTTGAGGTGGGAGAACAGGGAGCCGACTGCTGGACAGCGGAGAGGGAACTCACTTCTTTCGTCTTGATGACGGTTTACTATGCGGGTTTCTATTGGAACGCACATATATGCATACATTCTTGTACATGAGATTTTACGAGCATGGGGTGATGTATTTCAAACTTTATACACGATCTTCCACACGAGAAGCTGCTCTACTCCCTTTTGTGGACATTCACATGATTAATCGCGAGCTAGCTAAGACGTCTGCTCGCTACTATGGAGCTAAGGCCTCGTTCGGTGGCGTAGATACACATCGTCAAACGTCCTGTATTGTTGAATTTCAATGTCCTGTGTTGATCTTTGGTGCTTCGCAGAGTCAGATTCCGCGTGACTTTGGATGCGAGACTGATCCATTGCAACATCCACGTTCTACTCTCCGAAAGGTTGGAAATCCCCTGTTCGCGTCTCATCTCCGTCGGATCCGATCCATCGTCTCGCCTGTTGCCATTCTTTCCCGTTCGAAACCAGCGTCCGCGACCAGTGACAAGTCGGATTCCCTACTTTGCGTGATCCGAATGTGCATGGCGTGGAATGCGGTTTCTGATGCCTTCCGAATTCCAAGTACGCCGCGTTATAGACCGCCATACTTTGTGAAGTCCTTTGTTCATGCGATGGTGTATATCGTGACCTTGAACCGAGCACAACGGACTCGGAAAATTCGAGATACACACTCCCGAGCTGGGCTGGGACACCCTTCGGCCAGCTGGTGTCCGAAGTCCAGGCTCTCGATACTGTCACCGTTCGCGCCACTCTCCATCCCTACTGCCCACCGCCAGACCGGGACCGGCATGTCAGCTTCTCTTCCGCGGACGCCGTGTTCGTTTTTACGTCCTCCTCGGTCGCGCGGTAGATGTCGCACTTGCTCCGTAACCCACCGGGCTGCGGGTATTTGCTCACGCACTCGATGCGTCGATGGCAGTCGTCGGCGATCGCGCGCGCTCTGGGGTCGTGCGCTTCGTTCCTTGATGAATAGGGTGGAGTATTCGCGCTCTTTGCCCGCGATCCCCTAGGGAGCTCGGGGGCATCGAAGACGAAGTAAGTAAGTAGAATGCTAGGCGCCAGAGATGCGGTTCCGGACGGGAATGGTCGGAATTTGCGCCCAGGCTTCCAGACCGTGGCCCGGCGGCAGCGTCGCTTGGGGGATGGGAGTGGGGACTCGCGAGTGGTGCTGTGATGAGGACGGGGTACTGCATGCCGCGGTCTTCGGCCGCGAATGGAGAATCGAGCGTGGTCGAGATGCGTCACGACTTTTGCACGGACTACATCGCTGCCTTCAATGACGACTCGCCGACGACTTTCCCCATCCTTCAGCGCGAAAACTCAGTCCTTGATCCAAACCTCCAGCATCCACAATACAAAGGGCATTCAGGTCTGGTAACGGCATTTCCCGCCGTTTTCGATCGCTAGCTCTTTCATCATCGGATTCGGAGCTCTAGTATTCGGGGTCAAGGAGTGGGTGCTTGCTCGGCGACAGCGTACCATGCTGTCTCAGTACAAATATAGACACTCCAAGCTGCCTGCCAATGCCGTCCAGTTGCTAACTTGGTTCACTCGAGATATCTCTGAGTAGCTTGGCTCGAAAGGCGTGCCCAGTCTGCATATTTTCCATCCTGGAGCAGGCGTCTTCCAAGCTTCTCGAATCAATGGACTCAACGTAGGCGCCTTTTCCAAGCAATTCTAGTAAAACCATTTTAATTTGCAAATCAGAGTACACGGTTGCATCCAAGCACTCCATACGCTACGTGATTTATGTCTGTACTGTGCACACCCTACACCTCCAAGATTTGCCCTTTTACCTCATCTTCAGAATGAAATGTTTAGCTCTTCATATCGGATTCAAATCTGTTCTATTGTTCTGTTCCACTCTCTTTCCACATCTTCCATGCTGCATTCTAGGAAATCCATGTGCCCATTATACTAGAATCATCTCACCAGCGCCGTCCTCTTTCCAAGTGCATACTTTACCGTACATCGAGTCTTCCAGATAGCACGGTCCAACCAACCAGCACTCTTCGGTGCCCGTGGGCCGTCAGAGTAGCGGTGTTTTGGATCCATGAGCAATGATAACTTCGTCACCTTCATTTGCTATGTCTGGTCAAATCGAGAAAGATGATGCCAATCACTATTGCCAGACGAATCTTTGGGCAAACAAAGAATGCACTCAGATTTCAGCTTTGGTAGGTACATAGCCGACTCCCCCGGGAAAGAGATCACCACCCTCTGACCCATACATCGCATAGTACTCGTCTTCAGCTGGCACTTGCCTAACGCCCGCTGACTTCTCCATTTTCACAAACCTATCCATGTCCACTTTATGCTCTTCTTTCCAAGACAATGTATCATCAAAGTTCCTGCCTTTTCGGCTGATACTGAAATCAACAAAAAGATGTTCCTGCGTATCCATCCAACTGTACGTGAGAACGTCGGCATGCGCATGACACACTATGTCTTGCGCAAGCATGTCGATACAGTGCCTCAAGTGGATCGGCCAGAGGGCCCTATGCGTCTTCTTCAAGGACTTCTTTTCGCCACAACCTGCAAAGAGAAAATAGGAAGCACCGCAACACCATTGTACCAGCGCCATTATGAATCGAACCTAATACGAACTAAATACCCCCAACAACACAAAGGTCATCTTGCGCACTCCGTTGAGGCAGTGTAATTTGTGCAACGCGTCCAGAGATGCCACATAAGCACCGAAGCCCGTACCCCAATTCCCGTCGGGAAAGCGTGTAGGAATTTCTGGATGTTTTCCGAGAGCGATCACATCTTCTCGAGTGATTGCGAACACATCTGCGGCTTGCCGCTCAAAGACCTCCCATGCCTCGTCGGCATCTAGCCTAGGTTCTAGCCTGCTGAATGGAAGGTTCGCTGGCCATCGTTCTCGACGCCCTATTGGCAATAGACTTGTTGTTACGAGTCGAAATCTGAGGGTGGATCCTCTGGTTGTGACTGCTGGATCGATGGCTAGCTAAGTGGCGACACTTTTGCTTCGGTACGACTGCTGGAAAGACGCGGTCGTGGTTTGAATGGTATCTTGAGGCTTGAGTGGCTTCGATATCGTGGTTGTCGAAGAGGATGGACGAAGGTGGTGAACGAAGGAATGTCGAAAATCTGCTTTGGTCATTTCTCTCGTGTCCACTAGGAGTCATGCGCTATCTAGGCGTTTGAATCTCTATTGCGGAGCTGAGCATCGATTGCTTGGTACAATTTACTTTATCTATGAGCGAAGTGACTAGTGGGGCCACAACTAAGGTAATGACGACCTTTAGCGCCAACATCATGACAACTAAAGTAAATGGATTACCCTCAGGATGTCTCGAAAGGCAGAAGTTGAAAGATGACGGGGATTCATCGAGAACTCTGTATGCTGCTCTTTATTCAGTGATGAAGACCCCTTACTACAGTTGGTGAACATTTGGATATGAATGGAAAGTAGGATAGTTGCTTTCGACGATCAGAGTCTGGCTGAGCTGGTACTTAATCATTCGCTTTCATGACACCATGCAGTATCCGATGGATAGACGAGCCCGCAATCATGAGGCCGCACTCGTTGTGGCATGAGTGTAGCTATGATGATATCTCATTATCCTTTCAGGATTCCACCTAGGTGGCAAGTTCACGTATCCCAATAGGAGGACGAGAGTGCGTTGAGTGGGTTCTAGCACAAGGGGAAAACGATCTTTCTTCTCAGTCGAGACCCCTAAAGAAGCGTCCAGTTTCTCCGTCCTTACGTAAGCTTGAGGTCGACGACAACGGCAGCTTTCTTGTCAATGACCGGGTGAACTTTCCCTTCTCCGCCAGGCCGTTAGCGGGCGTATAGGTTAGTCAGACCGTTGTCTCTCGCTCGCAAAGACGGTATTCGATCGACTCTACGCGTGGTGCGTCTTATAAGCATTTCTGAATACCCACGGCGGTGGAGAACAGAGCATCGAAGGCAACGGTATCCGCTTGCATGAGGTTTCGCTTCTGAGCTCTCTCGATCACACCGTCGCGTAGTCTGGTTTTGGAATCGTTTAAACCGGCCTCGATCCCCTTTTTCTTTACTCAAAAAGGCGCGTCCCTCGGGAGATACTGGGAGACTCATATCCCACCGCATGGATCTAGGCAGTCAGAGCCTTGTTTCTGATAGAGTCGATGGACTTGAGGATATCGACTTAGATTCTCTGCCATGCCACAATGGACAATTCTTGCCTGCCTGATGTGGTCACGCTCGGTAACGTGTTCTGTTTTTAAGAAGAATTTGCTTTCCATCGTCCAGATTTCCTCGACACAAATTAAGCGCTGTGGTGACCTTGTCAATAGTCTGACGATTGGAGAGGTAGTCACACGAGATTCTCCTTGCATGGCCTCTCAGCCGCGGGAAAAGCCTAATTCTTCTCCCCCAACAATAGCAAAGCTCAAGCTCCGCGATGAAAAGCAATACTTAGGTTCTGTCCGTGAGGCCTTGGCAACCCTAGCACCCTCAATGGATATACGCTTATCCCAGCACCTCATTCATTGGCTTTCCAGCGGATACGAATTGACGGAAGCGGCACCTAATCGCTAGGGTGAAAGAAGCAAGACCTTCTGCGAACCTCAAACGTAAAATTGACTAGTCATACACCATCTTTTGAACCTAGCCTTTTGGGTAGGTATCAATCCTTTGCTAGTCATCGCTGGTGGATTTTGATGGTGACCCGAGCCCTGTTTGTGTGCAAGGAGCAATCATCCGCGGTCCGGCTAAGCCAATGAGGGTTTTTGATCGAGCAACCTCTCAATTCTGGGGATCAAATGCCTATCACTGCTTTACACTATAGGATCTCGGACTTCTTCTCACCCTTTGCCAATTTGGGGCCGGTTCTGCTCTTCATGCTGCAGCTGGATTTCCATAATTATCTCGAAGACCCCCAAACATGAGCTCATTCTTATTGATCAAGCAGCTCGAGTTGTTCGATCTCCAATTTTCTAATAACCCGAAGCATCTTAATTATGAGCAGCTCTCAGTTGGCGGCTGGAAGGAAAGTTCGGTCTGGGTGTCTTACCTGCAAGTGAGTTACACTCTTGACCGCGCTGTCATGGGTCCGAGTGCTTCACAAATACTAAGCTCGTACCGTTTAATCCTAGAATACGACGTGTAAAGTACGACGAGGAGAAACCTGCATGTTTGAAATATCGCAGAACCGGAAGGACTGGTGATGGCTACCTTCCCGCGCAGATTGGTCGAGCCACTCCACAGGCTATGATGACAGAAGACCGATCTCCCGGTCACTACTCAAACCCCATCATCTAATCTACCTGGCACTCATGACGCACGGAGGTATTTCGAGTATTTCCGCCAACGTTCCGTCGTCGAGTTCTCTGGATATTTTGACTCGAACTTCTGGGACCAGTTGATTTTACAGGTCAGCCATGATGATCCGGCTGTATGCCACGCGGTCATTGCACTTGGCTCCCTGTACGAGAAGTTCGACGGTCAGCGGGAACTGATCCGACCGCATGCCCAGGCAACGGTCTGTCGCCAAGACAGCATCGAGCAGTACAATCAAGCCCTCGGTCACTTGCGGCAGAATCTTGGAGATAATGAGAACCGGAATGTCCAGTCAACCCTGATTTGCCGCGTCCACATTATCGCTTTCGAGACATTCCTCGGTAACTACGACTCAGGGGGGTTGCACTTGGAGAACGGGCTGAAGATCTTGCATGATTGGCAAGTTCAGCAAGACCAGCTTCTGCAATCAACTCTTTCGTCCGGAACGAGCATGATTGAGGACGACCTCCTTCCGGTGTTCTCTCACCTCAACTTACAAGCAACGTCACTGGTCGACCCAGGTCTTTCCGAGCATCACCGGTTCATTGGAGATACCGCAACGAAGTCAATCCCAAGTGCGTTCTCGAGCCTCAACCAGTCGCGAATCTGTCTATACAATTTGTTCAACGCAACATTCGACTTTATCCACTCAACATACGACATCAAAGAGTCTGTCAATCTTTTTGAGGAGCCACCCAGTGCGGTGGTTTTGGAACGCCATCACCTCGATGGCTTGATGCAACGATGGCTTCAGACTTTCGACACATTGCTACAAGTATCAGGCACACAGATGGGCACTAGAGAGCTCAGAGCAGCTATGCTCCTCAAGATACATCACACTACCGCTATAATCCTCCCCAGAGCGAGCCTCAATCCTGAACAATGCGCTTTTGACGTCCATCTTAACCACTTCAGGAGCAGTCTGTCGCTTTCAGCGTCACTAGTGGAAGCGCCAGGGTCTTTAGAGATCAGACCAAGCTTTTCGATGGATCTGGGTGTCATTGTACATCTATACTTGACAGTGGTCAACTGCAGAGATCCAGCTGTACGCCGGCAAGCGCTGTCTCTCCTCTCTCGCCTGTCCTTACCTCGGCAAGAAGGGACCTGGAATGCGAACGATGCCAGCAGGGTTGGACAGTGGGTGATCGACGTTGAAGAAGAGGGCCTCGGGGCAGTCGAAAGCGCTGAAGATGTTCCCGAATCCTCCCGCATCCAACGGATTGATGCTAATGCATACATGGAGGAGCGACTCGTTCATCTGAGACATGTTCTTGATGACGAGTCCGAATCTAGTGAACCTGATGTTGAGGAGAACACTGAGGATCAGTAACCGTACTCCCAGTCTATCTTCGTCTTCATCTCGCTAATCTTTCAAGACCGACCATGCACCGTCTCAGCTACACCAGAAACTCGCTGTTCGGCAACTGTCCGGAGTGCGGAATGGAGTGTCAGTCGGTGGTTGCAAATCGCCCGGCTATACACGCAAGATTGATGGTACCTTCATAATTCTTTCGGTCAGATATTTTCCTTTTTGACGTTTCGTTGCGTGTGTCCCAATACAAGCCTTGTCACTATGTCCTTGAGACTCTATTTCTCCAGAATTGCTTCCCTTCCAGAATTGCAGAAGCACTCCCTAGTTCTATCCTCTCCCTTTTCGAACCGAGTGAATAGTATAGTGCATTGAGAAAGCGCTACTATGATCTTATCAGTTTATTACGCATCAAGATTCATTGATAGACTTTGGATATACTTCGTGTGATTCGACACTTCTTCAAGACTTCATCGCTTCTTCCTGCCTATGCGCGCCCGTCGGAAGATAACCGCCGTACATGGTGGCGTGATCGCCTCTAAGCAGACCATACATAGCGTTTCGCATACGACTGCTGATTACTCGGCATCATATGCCTTTATCCTCCATACGCTCAGTAGACAATTGGTCACGGCATGACGCCTAGTCATGCCGATTGAATGTCCCTCTGTTGTCAGCCCTCCCTTCTCTTATATTTTGCGCAGTCCAAAGGTACGTCTCCACTTTCCAAATACCTCTGAAACTCCAAATATCAAGCCTTGGCATGCTACCTGACCAGTCTCGAATTTGAGTGAATAAATGCAACCAAATACAGCAACATGAGGAACGCTACCTCCCTTAGACTCCCCATCTTCCTTCTCCTCTCCGCGACCCTCCCATCAACCCACTCTTTCGACGCATGCGGGCCCCTCGTCCAGGACTCCCTCACACCCAGCGACACCTGCAACCGCAACATCACCCTCGGCGCCGCCCCCTCCGCCTACGGCGCCCTCCTCCTCAACGACGGCTCCGGCCTCACCATCCCCTGGGACAACTGCCTCCCCGTCCTCTTCGACGTCTGCGCCGCCATCAACGCCTCTTCCGTCCCCGTCGGCCAGTGGAACTGGACCGACCCGGGCTCCGAGTGCGTCATGGGCTTCTGGCTCCCGCAGTACGCCGGCAGCGCGCCCAAGCCGACGTACGACGCCTGCATGGACAATATTTACACGCCCATGTATATGATCGGCATGATCGACGGGGGCACGGCGTATAATCAGGTCACGGTCAATTTGAAGCAGTTGCCGGACGATTATGAGACGGGGGAGGCGGTCGATGTGGGGTATCCCAGTTATTCGATCACTTACTTGCCCCTTCAGCGAGGTCCGGAGACTCCGCTGTCGAGGGGGTGAGAGGGTTGCGCGTGCACCGGGATTGGAATGGCGGGTTTGGGGCACGATTGGCGAGGCGATTTTGTCTTTATCACGGTTTGTACAACAAAAAAAAACAGTAATCAAAAAAGGTGGCGAATTCATTCTTCCGTCTCAAGCGTCTCCGCGCTCCAGAATCCTCCTCATGCAAGTGCCTGAACAAAGACAGAAGAAAAGAAAAGAAAAGCAAGAAAGTTACACGCGCTCCGCAATGCTGCAAAGCGCAACTTCCCCACCCGGAGCCACGAACCAAAAACGCACGCAACTACATCCAACCGAATACGCCACAGTCATGCACGACCGGTCGCCATTTTTCCACCCGCACCGTTCGTGGGGCATTTCTTCGCAGCCCCGAGCGCTTCGGCGGCTCGTTGCCACTCGGTAGTGTCTGAAACGTCAGCTGCGGTTTATCCGAGTCGGCTTCCGGAATCCTGGGGATTTGGGGAAGAAAGGCGTGGGTGGTGGTTTGGGCGCTTGGGTGGGTGAGTGGGTGGGTGTTGAGGAAGGGGACTGGGGAGGGCGTTTTGTGGGTGGGGGGGTGTGGTTGGGAGGGGAAAGATGGTGTGTGTGCGTGTATCTGGGGAAGAGGATGGAGATGGGGGACGAAGTGATTGAAGGACTGGGCGTGAGGAAGTGGGTAGATAGGATACGTTGAGTACATGGAGGGTGAAGGATTTGGAGTGGCGTCTTGTGTGGATGATTTTGAGTCTCTCCCTGATCAATGAGCGCTACCAGTATCCGGCAGAATTTGATGATCGTCTATTGTAAGCGGCGCTGAACGCCATGCGATGATAGTGCTGGCAGAAGGTTAGACCTAGACTCCCATTGTGAAATCGTGCTCGATCCCTGGCGTCACCGAGGCCATGAACTAGAGCAGATGTCAGCCGTCCCAACCACCAATCTAACCCCAGATGGGGCGAGTGAGGATGTAGGGATCCTACCTTCAAAAACACAACCAAATACTGATCCACCCTAATCGCCACCTCGTCTTCTTCCGAGACCCCACCCTCATGCTGCAGGACCTCCCACTCGTCACCGCCTCCTCCGCCCGCGGCAGCTACCCCACTGCTATGGCCTCTCCGATCTGCAATCTGCGTCGCATTCATCTCGTCCACCAACCCTTCCATCCCGCTCTCCACCTTCCCCCGCCCTTCCGCTCCCTTTCCACCACCATTCCCTCTCCGCACCTTCTCCAGCCGTATCTTCAGCGCCGCGTCTGCACGGTCGAGCAACACTTTCATGACGCTGGCGTGTTTGCACGGGTGTATGGACGCCATTTTCACTGAGTTGTCGAAAAAGGGAAAGTCCTCGAGTGTCACGGTTTTGTCAGCGTAGTCGCCGACTATATCTTCCATCATTAGGTGTGGGGACAGCGGGTGCGAGGACGAGGAGTAGCCGGATAGGTAGAGTCGGGGGGTTCGGTAGTAGGGGGTGTAAGTTATGTAGACTGTGTAGGTTCGGAGGGGTCTGTGGTGGATGTTGACTGAGTCAGCTGATGCGTACTTGCCTTGGCCTTGTCGACGAGGGGTTCGGTAGGAGAGCGAGGACTTACGCAGTAGTACCGCTGGCTTTCGGGTCCCGGATTATAGCCTCTTCATCGTCGTCTTCGTCTTCCATATCCGGTATTTCTTCTTCCTCTTCCCGTTCCCCTACATTCCCGCTTTCATCCACAGTCCGCACATCCCTCATCCTCGCCTCTTGGCTCGCAGCCAACCCGCCCGTCCGCAACCATCCGTCGTCTTCCCCACCTGCCCCTCCTCCTCCTTCCCCTCCGGCCGCAAATCCATCCTGCACCATCGCCTCATCCTGCCCCGCATCGCCCGCGAAATTCTCGTCGAGTCTCCTGTGACATGGCACGCCGCGCGTTATGAGAAACTGTTTTGTGGGAGGCAGATAGGTGACGCGCTTGGAAGGAGTCGAGGCGTCGGACCAGGACCAGGTGGGGAATTTGTAAACGAGGTAGTCGCCGGCGAGGACGAATTCTTCGGGTGTCACTTGGCCCGTGGTGCGGAAGGTGGAGGTGTGCGAGATTGGGGCCCAGCGGTCGCGGAGAGTGTCGAGGGTTGAGTGGATTAAGTTCATGTTGTGTATGTATCATGGAAGGATGTTTGGAAATGGGTAGAGGACTGATGTCGCTGTTGATGCTTGTGCAAGATGTTTTATGGCGGGGAGGTGGAAGTTACATGTACTCTAGGCGGCGATAAGACGGAATCGTCGCTAGTGCCGAAAGTTGCCTGACCGCTTTCATGTGACTCGGGTCTATCACGATACTCAAGACTTTGTTGCAGCCGTCGATTACATTCTTACTAACTCTCGTTGCTGAAGTGAGACTGGTTCACGAAGCGGCAGTACGCCTTAAGCTACGCCAGCTGATAAGTATCCTCTTTCCTTGAGAATGGACTCGCGTTCTCTGTATATGAATATCGACCCTCTCTGGCAACAACAGACAACAACCGATTAATGGTGGGAGAGTGAATGCTAGATCACTCCCTTCAAAATGGCAGTACCTCTCCAAGCTGTCGCCATCCCCAAAGAGATCACTGCAACAACAGTGATCCTTCCCCACAAACCCACCGCCGCCATCGCCTGCTCCTACGTCTCTGGCACCGATCCTGCGGTCCTCGTTGTCTTCCTAAACGGCCTCATGACCGACAAATCCTCCTGGACCCCCGTCATATCTGGCATCATCCACCAGCGCAAAAGTCTCGCGTCCCCAGAATTCCCGTCAATGCTAGCCTACGACCGCTACGGCGTCGGAATGACGGAAGTTCGCGATCCCTTAGATCAAGGCAGGGAGCAGGGTCATGGTCATGATTGTAAGGATGCCGCTGAGGACCTGCATTATCTGATTCAGCATTTCAGTCAAGGCCTGAAGTTGTTGAGTGGGGAGAAGTTGCGTGTCGTGCTCGTGGCTAACTCGATTGGCTGCGCGATCGCGAGATTGTATGCTGAGAGGTATCTGGTGGCTGCGGTGTTGTTTCTGGATTCTATTATGGCGAATTCTGATTTCGATTTCTGGCCTGATCCTGATGCGCCGGGGTTCGATAAGCGAGAGCTGCCAGATGATGTGACTGTCGAGGTTTTGAGGGAGCAGAGGGCGAAGTTCGCAGCTATTTTCAGGCCGGATGTGGTGAATAGAGAAGGTCTCAGCAGGCGCAGTCTAGCTAGGTTGCTACCTCACAGTGACGGGCCCATGCTAGGCAATCAAAGCGGGAAACCTTGGGTGACGGTCGTCGGGCATGATTTCGAAGCCTTTGCGAATGAGAGCTTGAGGACCATGGGTACGCCAATTGGATTGTCGATGAGGTATATGAATCCAATGTGGCATAAGTACAATCAGGGCCTTGTGCACGTCACAGATCGTGAGAAGAGCAAGGGTCCGATCGTTGCGAAGGGCTGCGGCCATTTCATCCAGAGGGATGACCCGGACTTTGTCATCAGGGAAACGTTGGATCTGGTTGACAAGGTTAGGATGCAGCAGTCGGTGGTGTGGTGAGCCTTGTTCGCAGGAAGCCTTGTGAGAGAGTGTGGCTTTGGCTGAGCTGGATGAGTCGGTCGCGTCGTGGCTGCAACTCACATCCGAGTTGTTTGTTGCGCTGAGTTGGATGCGTTGGTGGTGGTGAAACACCCCAATCCTGTATTCACTTTCAAGACAATGTGGGAGATATTGATGTGGTGACAGACACCGCAGAATCGCAAGGCCGAATGCTATGGAGCTCTGAAGCATATCTCTGTGAGACGTAGATGTCCTCTTACATGGTCTAACTCCCAACGAATCCCAAACTCCAGGCCCCGTTTAAAGTGGCCTTTACCGATGCTCTACCTATGCTTTTTCCCCCTCTATATTTTCACGAGCGCCTGTAGACTCCCAGACCCCATGCTGCTCGAAGAACAGCCAATCCCCAAGCCATGCCCAAACTATCCCAGAGCACGTTCAGCTTACTGCCTTTAACTTCTTGCCAGCCAATGGGTACTTCCGCAACGGGTATACCAGCTGACTCCGCAAGCATCAACATCTCGACGTCAAATATCCAACCTTCCGAGTGCATGTATGGTATTATGTATGGTAGTGATGGACGAGAGAAAAGCTTGAAGCCGCACTGGGTGTCCCGGATAGCGGCTGTGGCAGGAGGCGTGAGGAGGCGGAGGAGGAGATGAAAGGAGTGCATGAGCAGGTTTCGAAGAAATGAGCGCTACAGATTGGTCATCAGCACCGTTCGTTTCATCTCTAATGCGGCCACTCGACAAACCTTGACGACAGCCTCACTTCCCACAAGATGCGCTCTAGACCCAACAGCCACACCCCTACCCTCAGCATCTTCAATCTTCTTAGATTCCCTGACAAGCTTGCCCAAGTCCTCGAACTTGCTGGCACCGTCCGCATCAGCAAAGATGGCATATTGCCCTCTGACATGACGCATCCCATGTGTGACCGCTCCTCCCTTGCCTCGGTTCTCGTGTAGACTGATGACCCGGATACAGGATGCACTTCTTCCTCCCAAGTCTCTCGCAAATTGTAATGCCGTGTCGATGGTCTTGTCTGTGGAGCCGTCTGAGACTACCAAGATTTCCCAGCCTGGAAGCCGACCGCTGTTTGACGCCGCGTAGCCATTTGAAACTGCCTGCGTGGCATCCTTTCGCTTTGGGCGATTGCCATTGGCCTGCATCTTAGGAGCTTCGTTGCCGTACGCATGCTGTAAGTACTCCACGGCCTCAGTCAGCATCACCCCGAGTCTTTCCTCCTCATTAAACGCTGGTACAACGAGAGACATGAAGACCTCGGGTTCCTCGACCTGCAGATCTGTCTCTGTAGAGTCCCCTCTGCGCCGTGCGGCCTCTCCCTGTGCATTATATTTGTCTTGCCAGCAAGGTAGTGGTTTGGCCTCTCCGGAGTACTCGCCAGGCTCGATAGTTCTGTAGGTCTTCTCTGATCTTAAAGGAGCGCGTGGTATGGGGGCGACGATGAATAGGGCGAGGTAGAACTATAGAGCGTCAGCAAGCAGCGGTCATCCTCCCTCAGGGTAAAAATACCAAAACGGCGATGCCGATAACAGTGGACAAAGCCAAAAGTGCAGTCAGTGGCAATGATACTCCTCGGTTTGTCCTGAGGACATCTCGAAGGTACTCCATAGTTGTTTTATTTTAAGACCTCGTGGCTGCGCCTGCCCGAAAACAAAGATTGGTGGGATCAAGGGGAACCATGGGCAGTAGATTCTTCGATCCAATGGACGGACTTCGAGTAGTAGGGGCGCATAGTCCGTTTGCTGTGGTAATGCATGGCGCAAAGGTGTAATAAAGCCGCCCAATATTCAGATGTCTTGGCATCTACTCTACGGGGAAAGATTGTTCCGGCCCCGCGTCGCGAGAAATCGAGAAGACCGCTGTGTTTCGCGTGCCTCTCCTTGTGTTCTTTATTGGTCAAACTGACATGTTCTATTGAAGTACACCTTCTCCTGTACCTCTGGTAGATTCAGCCAGTCCCATTTGACCGCTTGAGTAGCCCATATTATTGGGGTTTTAAATATGAGATCTTCTCTGGCTATCGACTACCAGCTCCCTTCTTTGGGACCTGATCTTCAATAGACGGGAACTCCTTTTCGGGGCGAAATGTATGTGGACTACTTTGACTACTTCTAGAACCAGTAAGAAGACAGCAATTTTTCGTCGAAATACCAAAAAGTAGGGAACGAATGGCACGATAATCCAGTAGGGGAGCATTTAGTGGAAGACAAGATCCCAACGCATGCTGTGCTTAGGATTCTGGAGTTCCAGGATATAGCTCAGCAAGTAGACGTCCCTCACTCAGAGCTTGCTGAATGCACTGATCTCCGTCCGTCCCAAGCGACGAGTTACTTGAGACAGATTCTTTTTCCTTCGAGCGTGTCACACCGTATGTGGAGTGGATGGTCATGGTAGAATAGTCCCCGTCAGCCTGCCATATCACTCAGCTGTCTGAAGACATAGAAGCGCTCGGGATGTTGATCACCACGTCTTTGTCTTTTCGAAAGCGATATCTTCACTCTTTTGGGACAATCGTCGCGGATCTTCAACATGATATCAACGGTAAGGCTGTTCTTGCGCAAGATATAGTCAATGAAGATGGGTCCGCCGACTGAGCAGTGGTTGACGTGCCAGAGTACTGTTTGTTCCCTCCGAGCAACACGTTTATCTTTTCAGACATGCCAGAATCAGAGGAGTGAGTGCATGTGATGGGAGACTTGAGGTCCAGATTGTGGGTAGCCTTGAAGTCTTATTACGTGAAACTCAAGCTTGTTTAATAAGTGCACCACAGGTCAGCACGAGTGGATTGGCCAACTGGACTGTCTTCGTGTATTGAGACGAGTTTTTTCTCGTCGTTGCTTGCTCTGAGAACAGATAGGTAGCTAATCTTCAGGAATCTTCAAGTATAACCTCGATCGATGTTGTATTTTACTCTACTTGAATGCTTGGGGCGTACTTTTCGCAAATTCGTATTGGGACAGCAGTAAAACCTCCACCGTCTCAACCACCGCCCCCAGAAGTACTCAATCACTCTACACATTGTCCCTCCTCCCCTGCCCTACCTGGAAGCAAGAAATATTTTACTCGTAAAATTGGAAACTTGGCATACTTGAATATTTTCAAATCAGGATCGTTCCCGGACTATCCGCCGAGGTTTCTCGTGTCTTAACGTGATTTCTCGGGGATAGGTCTTTGAGTCTCTTTGGGGGAAGGGCGGGAGTGTGTGCAGCCCATGTTGGTGTCGGGGCTTGCCTTTTCGCTTTTGTGGTTAGTTGGTGTGGTTATTGCGAGAAGCGGGACCTATGAACACCAATTTACTGTGTTGAGATGCCTCATTGGTGCGTTCTAGATTTTATAACACAGGATACAGAGGTATTTGTGAAAAAACAAAGCCGTAGCGTTCGTTCGTTGTAATGCTGACAAGGTCCTTCTTTCTTTCGCAGGCTTCCAAGAATTGATTGTTCTCAGACCAACTCATTGTGTCTTTACTTACCAAGTCTTTGTCAACCCCTCGGCATTCCCCTCAACATCACCTACTTATACCTACAACTCGCCTCTCTTCACCGTTTCAACAACACATCTTCCCCTATCTCTAGCTACCCTCGAAGAACCAAATCCTCTCTATCGCACCATGTCTCGAGAATTCCTCACCCATCTTCTCAGCACAACCGAGAACCGCGTTCGCTCCGACCAAGGCGCAAACTGCATGATCTGTCTAGAAGACTACAACACGCTGAACACTTTAACTGGGGTAGTCGAGTGGGAGGTTGATCTGCCATGCGGTCATCCGGTAGGATCATCATGCATAGTCACCTGGCTTCAGGCCAACAACAACTGCCCTGCCTGCCGGAAGAAATTTTTCCCAACACAACCCCGTCCACATCTCGAGCACGGCATCATGGACGCCGGCAGAGCAAGGACAACTACGGTTCAGGCCCCAATCAGAGGTGTGGTACCAACAGCCAGAACCGGCCCAGTCCCAGCTACCACACATCGTGTGGTACTAAAGGGATTGATGGCTGAGGTCCGGGACTGCACAATAGCTCTCATGCCCACCATCTTGGGCATTGGCTTTGGCATCTACATGGCAACACATCCCCCGGGCTTTCTGGTCTCCTTATGGTCGCCTTCTCCCTCTGCGGGACCTGCTTATCAAGCGAAGCGTTGTATGGACTGGCAGGATTGTTCTTTTTTAACCGCGCCGTCGGCGTGATAAATCAAGATGTAGATTGACATATCTTACTTTCTTAATCGACGAAGCATTAGTGGATGGCCAACGCCTCAGCTCGAATTCTCCAAATCCTAGCCCATCACCTGGAGGTGTCGTACGAGCGTAGTAAAGTAAGGGGCTAACCCGAAGGGGATTAGCCAGCGAAGAATAACAATCACCAATGGCTTACTGATCGCTCCATGTCCTCACGGAGTAACCGTCGGACGGCAAGCATTTCCCTTACTACATTCCTCACTACTCACTCACTACCTCTACGTCCATCTGGCATGAGCCAAACTCATCGTTGGATTCCACGCATGATGCGATGCAATGCAAAAGTACGACAGGAATTTGGTCAAGGAAAAGGGAGATTCAAATCATCGTCTCATTGCCTTTCGTTCCGTTCTACGATCTAGGCCCACCAATGTACGAGTAGCCTTGTGACGATGGTTCATGCGGTCGATGCGCCCTTTTGGACTGGCAACTGCGTCTTGTATGCAGGTAGGTGGGGGCTCAAAGCCAATTGGCTACACTGTCCAATCCTACATACCGCGATGTAACCTCGAGCATCTACTACTCATGGCACAGTCCAGAGAGTAGTTTCGATGGATGCACATAAATCTGCTCATGCTGCTGTTCTTCATCTCATTAAGTAGACCGGATTTTGCACGACTTTTCCAGGAGAAAAAACACCACAAGGCTGTCACAATTGGTAACCAGCCCATCTAATCATGCGAACCCCCACTTCCCCGAACAGCTTAGCGGCTGACGTCTTGACAGCGCCAACGGCCGGCTTCCATACCGTGCTCTGCTGGCCGTCCTGGCGTGCGAAGTCCTTACCAGTGGCTCCGGCTGTTTCCCCTCCAATGTATGGCCTCCAGAAATAGGCAAAGGGAAAGCGAAGGTGTTGTGGTGAGTTCATGCTGTGTTTTGAGCCTATCGATCTCGATAAAGCCGTCAGGACTGACCAGATCTAGGTAGCCGTCCTTAGCCATTCCAGGACTTGCAGGGGTGTCACTGGCAGCCTGGACCTTCGGTCCCACATCTGTCACTCCGAACCCGGCTCTCGTGGCCTGTGGGATCCCGCAAAGCAAGGCGTCGCCGCTCAAACGACCTGCGTTAGTATCATGTAGGCCAGCGAATCGATACCAGCGATGCATAATCAATCGCCGGCCTATTTTGCCTGCTTTTTAGCCCGAAAAAAGTCCTACTGAACGCGTCGATTGCACAAGCCAGTGTCTGCGCCGGAGACTTGGTGAAAGACCATAGGCTACATGAGGTACCTCGTGCCTAGGCGCGGGCCTTGTGGCCGTATAAGGCCCAGACGTGTTAGATATTAGGACTGATAGATACAGTTTAGCTCGGGGGAGGCCGACAGTGCCAATTTACTGCCAACATGAAGCTTGCGTTGGGTGGTGCAATAGATCACGTACTGCTGTGTGTTCGGCGTCGCCTATCCGATCATGCAGTGGAGGCTAAGGACACATAGAACAAGGTCCTTAGCCAGGCCTTTTCTTGGAAACCACCAGCTCTATAGGACGTCGTTGCTTTTCCGAGAAATCGCGCAGAATGGCATTGGCTGTCGCTTGCATGAAATCTGCAGTCCTTAGAGTCCCTCCTACTCGCAGATGCCGTTTTTAGCAGCTATCTCGGTGGGAGTCTCAATGCCGTCAGAGTCCTAAGCCGAGAGCACCCTGCCTACCGTTTTTCATGTGGCTTTACCCTTATTGAGCTGTCACTCCACAAGAATGACTATAGTGTGGAGCAATGTCAGATGCCCCAACTTCTTAACTTGTTTCTTCCCCAACCCTTTCTCAGCGGTCAGTACTTTTTCAAGGCGCTTCATTCTTCGGCCTAGACAAGTCAATATTTCTTACAATCTCAGACTTTTGAAAAAGGTATTAACAAATATTCGGTTTACAATTCACAATGTGTGGTACAACTCCTGACTCTGTTTGCGAGACACCTTGCCTGTAAGTGGGCATACAGTCACACATCCTCGCAGATCATTGACAACTACTTCCAGACCCATGTTGGGTCTACCGCGCACGATGAATGGTACAACACCCATTTCTGCCCGCGAAGCACCTTGTGCGTGAGTGCTTAGTCCTTTGATCCTAAACGAAATACATGTTGACACCTATATGTCAGCTTGAGACATCTTATCCGCGACGGTGTTGATAGAAGGATCTTGGACTCCCTCTCTGAATATGGATGTCTACGCAATTTTCTCGAATGGGTCGAAATCGACCGTTCCCCCAATCCAGACATAGAAGAAGACGAGCTCAGGATGTGCCCTTTGATCTGGTGTCGCAAGACTTTTGACAGTAGAGAATTAGCAGCTCGTCACGTTCCCGATTGCCCTCGCCTTTCGACTGCGTGGTATTGGTGCCCGTTCCATAAGCGCCCCGAACGTTTCCTAAAGTGTAACAAACTCTGCGAGAATCATCCGAAAGTCAGGTTTCGAAACAAAGACAATAAGCTGGCTGAAAGGTTTCTCAATTGGGTCTGTCGCAGACGCTCTGAGAAAAGATCAGGTCTGTACTCGGCTTCTTCACCATTGAAGTACAACAATCCATTGAAGTACAATAATACTAACGAACCCATGCTACAAAAGCCGAACTGAAGGAGCAAACAGCCTTGGATGGAGGCACGCGGCAAGGATGGAAGGAAGAGCTTGGCACAGGTCTTGACAATCAAAGATTCGAATCGCCTGGATCGGCCCTAAACTCGTCCCGGGCCAACGACTCTCCAATGTTGACGGGATTGTTAGATGAAAAAGCAAGATACCCAGGCGTCCGAGTTGCCGAAATACGTGACCCTACCGTCTGTCTTCCGGAGCTAGCATCACGCCAAAGCGTCGTAGGGCCAATTCACGAGATGTGCGACCCTTTTTCAGCACTCTCACACGAGATGTACGACCCCTCATCTCCCCCGAAAATTTCTTTGGCGTCGTCCAAGCGGAAAGACTCACCAGAGCTTCTACATCCGATCAACAGCGAATCTGGTCGGCCAAGCTTGTGGCAAAAAACGCACGGAACTCCAGCCATTGATATTCGTTTGTCTACCGCTAAGCGATCCAGCAATGGCTGGCCTGATACCCATGAAACAGGGAGCACGATCTCATCTGTAGATCAGCAAGCTTCCGAGGCGTATGATCTCTGCAGAATACCAAGCCCCGGGCCTAGGCATACATCTATGGCGAACCCCGATCCCTATACACAGAGCGATAGTAAAAGATGCACAATCTTTGTGTCTACTGACATTTCGAGAGAGAGTAGCGACAGTTCCGGGGCATCGTTGGAGTCTCCTCGCGTTGAGACAATAATATCATCGTCACCAAGACACAAACCAGTCGACCGGATTAGACCGTTACCCACGCCGCCTCAGCGCAAGTCTTCAAACTTGAACCGGCCGTTGCCGTCGGTCCCAAATTCACCATTAACGACCAGTTCTTCCGAACGCTTTTCAGTCGTGAGCCGTAATCCTAGGTTGTCAAGCGGGACATCTGTCTCCTATACTGATTCCGAGTTTGTGGGATGTGCCCCGACAGATGCGTCGACCGACACATTTTGGACGGCTCACGATTCAATCTGGGAGTCCCAGAGGCGACACGAGCCACCACTCACGAGCTCATCTTCGACTGACAGCAAAGTTATGAGAGATGAGATACTGGCTGGCGATGCCTCGTCCATGAATCGAACTCGTCCACACGAACCAAGGAATCCTTATACATTCTGGAATACTGTCTCTCCAAGTACCCTTGCTCATACTGCTACCCCTCCAGCCTCAAATGACGTCTCCCCAAGCTCTCCAAAATCTGGACTTTCCTCCCCCTGGTCATACCTCCACTCTCCAATAAGCCCAACAGTGAACTTTGTGTCTTCACCGTCAAAAGTTGCCTGTTCATCCACATTCACCCGCGAGGGACCAGATCCGGGAAGGGTAGAGCATCATAAAGACGCCACCAGCGGTGGGATATCTCTTGATTCATCGCCTTCAGGGTCGACAACAAAAGATCTCGAGCATACACGCTCTGCTCGCAACAGCTCTGAGCCGGGTCGTCCAATTCAGCGTCCAGTCTCGCACCCAGCGGTCTCGACAGCGTCTCGAGCCCCATGGCCAAAGGACATCCTGGCCCAACAGCATTCCCATTCTTTCTATCGTCCGTTCCAAATCAAAGAGTTTGACCAGTCGTCCGTCTGTGTTCAGCCTTCGCTCATGAGAATGGAGTCGACAGACTTGGCTGGCCCTATCCATTCGAGTGGTGTCGACGATTTATTAGAGTCAATGATAAAGTCAAATATGACACATGCCGAAGCCTCAAAGTCGTGGACCACCGCTTTCTTGCCCTCTGTATCTTCTTCTGCACATCCGGCACGGGATATTGACATGGAATCGAGCTTCATGAGTGGGAGCATGGAGACAGTGAGACCAGAGATACCAGTGCCCCTTTTTACCCCGATCGACACGATGGCTGCTAATGATGGTCTCTGCAAGCTGCCATCGCCGACCTGCGATGGTGACCCGCACTATCCGTTCAACTCGTCGTTTTGCCCAGAAAGACAGCCTAGCGTCGCCTTGTGGAGCAGGAGGCATATGGACGTTCCGCCATTACCTTTGTCCAGAAGCAACATCTTTTCATCGGGCTCCAGAGGTGAGGAGGTAATCTTGAACCCTCGGAGGTCCAGGCCGACGCCCGAGATGGTACCGCAGAGCCAGAGCAGAGAAGGACAAAGGAGCAATGGCGAAGCCGCAGGCTCCGAAAGTAAGGTTGCTTCAGCGCATCAACGCCGACCTCACCTATCTAATGCTCTTGATTCACCATCTTCTACAAAGACTCTGCCACATTGCTTCGATCATGGATCCCTCCTGGTGACTCATTCTGCACCAAAGCAGATGCAGGTCGAAACACTTCAGGCATTGGTTGACGCTGTGAACAAAGATTGGATGCAGACGCTGGAATCAGACCCTGAGCTCTGGCTCCGTTGTGCTCCACTGCCGCCAGGTGATTTGTTCGAAAAAGGCATCGGGACCCTGAGGGAATATTTTCGTGGCAGATTGGGACAGACCTTCGATGACGTCTTTGCGTTTATACATCTGGCATTTGCTGCCGCGTTTCTCTTACACTATCAGCAGGATTTTTATGGCTTGGATACTTTTTACTACGACGCTCTTCAGTGGCAGCATGCGCTTTCCGACAAGGACGACAAGATCTTGTTTCTGAAGGTTATGGATCGTTGGTCGTGGCTACCTAAGATTCAGCCTACCCTGTTATTCAATAGCAGTTGCCATGCAAGCGTCGGAAGTAGCATCTCGCGGGAGTCACTCATCTGTAGCAACCAGGCAGACATGTTGGATGTATTAAGAAACAGTGAGGTTTTCAAAGGTTGCATTAGTTTCCTCGACGGCAAGCCAACACTTATTCCATTCAAGATTTAAGATGGCCATTCTAACTGACTTTTAGGTTTCGAGGAGGCAGATATTTGTGAAAGGAATGCTCAATATCCGCCCAAGGAATTGGCCCTATTTGCCCAGTCTCGGACCGACGAAATCGAGCACTTGATCGAGCATATCACTCGCCCGCTCCAGCATGAGCGCGGCGTAGAAGCTCTTCGAAGGATCGTGGTTGATACCGAGTTTCGAATAGCTTGTGGGTTATTGCAGGACCTGCGTGAAGTCGAGGTCACCTTGAATACCAGTGGTAGAGTAAGATCCAAGTCTTCATCAAGTTGCTACTCATTTAGCTAACAAATTCCAGTGGAGCTCTGAGTCACCTGAAATGTTTGAAAGATATCACAATATCGTCACAAACCAATGTAACAAAGCGCTGCCGTCGAGGGACTCAGACTGGTATCCCGCCTGGCGTAATGGTCATTATATCGTCGACTTGGTCCGAGTACTGGAAATGTCGAAATTGCAGGACAGACCCGACGCCCTTGAATCCGCTTTCGAGCTTTGGCCAGATACCAGTGAACTCGAAGCTATTCATCCGATCCAGCCACTTTCCGATTCGTCTGCTCCTTGGTATCCAACAGATAATGGAGCTAGGACCCTCGACTCCTCTCAAATCAGCGACGTGCGTCGGAGGTCTACGGCTGATTCAGAGAGACCCAAAGTCAGCACCCGGCCTACCTCGCTGACCACTTTGTCTCAAGCCTCCATCTCCCCAACGTCGCTAACCCCCAACACTCCAACAACTTCAACTGTAAGTTGTCGAGAATGCTCCAAGGACTTCACGGGAAGCCCACAAGACGCCAGATCCAATTATCGGCGTCATCAACGAACGTCCCCAAGACACAATAATGCAGGTCTCAAATGTCCCCAGCCAGAATGTCGTATGAGGCCCCCCATGAGATCCGACAACCTAGGCCCGCATCTCAAGAAGAGACATCGGATGTCCTCGTCAGAAAGAAGTGTCGCTATAGACCAAAGTAGACTATCGGCCAGGAGAGTGGACGATGATGGAATTGATCGACGTAGGTCTCGTAGAAAATAGGCGTTCAGTTTCTCGTGCTGTCTTTCAAGAATGACTGAAAGCTATCGTTTCGATGGATTGGATTTCATGATCTATAAGACATTTCCTCAAGGACTAAGATTCGATGTATAATCCATTTAGTTGCGATCTAATGAAACGATGAATTTATGACCTCAGACAAATCACATATGTGTTCCCGCCCCTGATAATACTCACCGATTGACCCTTGATGTTTGACCTTTACTTGCCCTATGACTCCTTTACTGCGGTGACATCTTCTCATAGGCCCCCGAGCCTGCAGGATCTATTCAATCGGAGCCGGATAAGTCAATCACGCTCTTGGAGGGATGACAAGGCTACCTGGCTCTAGGACCGTGAGTATGACCCAGATAGGAGAGCCTCATCATGATACGCTAAGACAAATACAGCTCGAGTGGTGTCCTGAACTGGACTTTGGTGGCTAGAACGCGATGGCAAAGGCAACCATAAGGACTGTCCAGCGCATCGTTGGCCTCTAGGACTACCGGAAGAACCTCAATCGAGACGTAGATACGAGAGCTTTGTCATGACATCTCAAGATAGGCGCGCGAGTACCGTCTCATGACACTTAGAAGGCGATGGCAAAGGCGTCCATAAGGACTATCGAGCGCGTCTTTCGCGTCTAGGACTGCTAGGACGTTCGGCGTCGACCGGTCAATTGCGTATTTCCCGCGGACGAACAGGAAGCCAGGATGTATTGGCTCAAGATGGGGGAAACATATAAAGTAGCATGGGATCGCCACTGAGACTTCCAAGAACAGGATAAGTAGCAGACATTCCGTCACAGGAATCCGACCACAATACCGATCATCTTCTCGGAAGAGCTGTCAGAGTGGTACTGGACGCAGTCAGAAGCCTAGGACCCTAACCTCGGCACTCTTGATCCAAGCTCTTGACTTGTGCAAACGCTAGGCCAGCCATGCCGTTAGTGCGGTCTTTTCCTCCATTCGCCTCTCGCCTCCCCTCCTTTCCGTATTGCAATGCAACTGACACGGCTTTCTTCTTTGACCATCAGGTCCCAATATCCTTCTTCTACACAAAGCCAATACACACAGAATCCGTATACACAGAACCAATACACACAGAACCACTCCTCCAATTCCTCCTCGGGTTCCGCAACTTCGCAGCTGGACCGATGGGTCAAGACGAAGGAGACGCATGAGCAGGTGGCCCTCGGGAAGAAGAGCTCGAGGCGGACGGCGGATACGATTGTCTTTTTGGATAACGCGGGACAAAGGATCGAGGGGAGCGCGAGGGGGCCGGGGATGTAGAGGAGAGGGAAGTTGTGGAATGGGGGACAAGGTGATGAGGGGGTAGGTGGGAGCTGTAATGATGTGTCTGTTTTTTATTCACGGTCTATACTAAGGGGGTTTCCGCTCCGGTTCGGTGTTGGAAGAGGAGGAATTGGGGTCCAGTGCACTTCGGAAGTAGGCTTCTTGGTACGAATCTTATGAGATATGAGTATTTTGGGCGTATGATTCTCGTACGTGTTTGACCGATATTTTTCTCATAAGTGCGGTTGCTTGGCTGGTATGTTGTGTAGCCGGGCAGCTGGAAAGCGGACAGTGCCATTCTTGACTGCTATATGAACGGTCGAAGCGTGTCTGTGTTCAAAGTGATCTCGTGATCTTCTGATAATAATAATGTAATCTCCGCTCGCGCTTTGCCTATGTCCAAACCCGTGCACTTCCGGAATTGTTTGGCGCTATGTGGATTACTCATCCGTCTTCCCCATGACTGCTTGTACAACTTACTCTGTACTCCCTCATAAAAGCCTCCGGAATGTTACAACTGGAAAGTTTCGTCCCCCCTCTCTCTCCATATAATCTAGCTCGTTTAGTCCTGTTGACATCTCATCAACACTGACCTCTCATACCACTGTCAACAATGACTCTCTTCCACCCGGTCGAGTTGCTCCTGCAGTGGATCTACCGCTTCGATGAACGGAATACCGCGCGGGACAGCCCGATGCAAGTCCTAGCCCTGGGCCTTTCTCGCTGCGGTACCGAGTCGCTGAAATTTGCGCTTGAGAATCTGGGATACCAGGGCGTCTATCATGGCTTCGAGGTCACGGGAAACCAAAGCATGGTTTGGACTCGGCTGTGGGACGCCAGGGTCGCCGGTTCTGGGCGGAAGGTTGTTGTGGAGGACTTTGACAAGTTGATTGGGAATTACGGGGCTCTCACCGATGCGCCGTGTAATATCTTTGGTAAGGAACTGATCAAGACGTATCCGAACGCTAAGGTTGGCTTGCCCTTTGAGCTTTGATACACTCTCTACGAGGACTAACTAGTGGTTTTGGAGGTTATCCTCAACCGCCGCAAAGACGTCGAAGCATGGGACCGAAGCTTCCGCACGACACTGATCCACGGCCTTCGTGATAGTTGGTCCCTCAAGGCGTTAGCTATCTTCACCCAGACTACTTCTGGCTACGTCAGATCACGCTGCGGTTCGTGATCGACTTCTTCAATGGTAGCTTTGAGAAGCATGGCTTGGAAGTCTACCGGGCGCATTATCGCCAGCTTGAGGACGTACTGGGAGAGAGGCAGTACCTGGAGTGGACGGTGGAAGATGGCTGGTGTGTTGCCTCGCTCTTCTGCTTTCGATACTTTATGGTGAGGTGTTTGAGGACGTCCCAACTGATGCTAATCATGGCAAAAGGGAACCCTTGTGCGCTTTCCTCGATAAACCGGTGCCGGAAAAGGCTTTCCCGAGCGGTAATGCGCCCCCCTCGTTTGCGAAGCGCATCGCGGAGAGGAGAAAGCCGCAGTACAGACACGCGGCCGTCAACCTGGCCAAGACTCTCGGAGTGATGGTGGCAGTCATTATTGCGGTGTGTTAGTGCTCGCAAACAGTGAGGCCATACACAAAACAACGTATGCACAAGTAGATATGTAGATAGATGATTAGGCATATCCAACACTGGGGCAGCTAAGACCTTTTTGGATATGTAAATAATCCAAAAAAGGCCCCCCAGCGCTAGAAAACTCCCATGTCTAAGCGATATACCCTGGAGTGAAATGAGGCTATATACAGGTATAGGTGGGTAAGAGAAAAATGATATGGCTCTGAAAGAGATGAAATCGAATGAAGAGCCGTTAACAGATGCAAAACAGGTGGCTATATAGCTCGTACTGGATATTTATCTCTAACCCCTTACCGGGGTATCAATAAGGATATTAATAAGGGTACCAATAGAACGGCTGATTAAATAGTCACTAACGCTATAGCCTTATAATGGACTTACTAACTCATAATCCCACTGTTATAATTAGTGCTCGTAAATAGTAAGGCTATATATAAAATAACGTATATATAAGTAGATATGTAGATAGATGATTAAGTATATTTAATACTAAGGTAGCTAAGATCTTTTTAAATATACAAATAGTTTAAAAAAAGTCCTCTAGCGCTAGAAAACTTCTAAATAGTCTAAAACATCGTCTAAAGAGAGTAAAAATCTCGAGAAGAACTTTTAATAATATCTATCGCAGTAAGTAATAGAGATTAATAGCACTAGCGTAAATAAGTTAGAAGATACTGGTACTATAGTAATACTCTAAGTATATAGACTAGGTAAGTAATTATATATAGGCGATAGGAATCTAACTTTTAACAATCTAGTAATTAAATCTCGTTATTACTAAGACCGACGTTACATACTAATATTATAGCCTCTCTATAAAAGAAATAGTCTAAATAATAACCCTTAATACTAAGTAATATCAGCACCTTATAAAGGTTATTAATAACGACTTTTCTAGTAAAGAAGAAGTCCCTTAGTTAAAATAGCGATATATTAGATAAGGCTTCCCATCTAAAGAGATAACGTAAGACTTTAACTGCGTATACGTTATTATCTAATATAATCATTATAAGTATAATTTCATAACGAAATAGGTCCATTTTAGACGCTAAAAGTATAAGTTTTAGATAATTATTGAATAGTCTTATCGAGCGATATATAAGGAATTATTCGCCGAAGTTCTTCTATTAAAGGTCTCGCTTATTATAAGTAAATTTATCTATATATAGAAATATCGCGAAGGTAAGATAAAAGGAGATATATAGAGTCGCCTTAGTATGAGTTAATTTATCGAAATAAGAAAGGATTTAAAGTAATAGATTCTTAGTAATTAAACGCCTTTCTTTCATATTAGCTTCGCTATAAAGATATTGACTATTTATAATAATGCGTTGTAATTGAGGATAATAAAATACTAAGAGATTATCGAATTTCATATCTACATAAGCTAACTTAAGGTCGATAAGGTACGCCTTTATAGACTTCGACTTAACGCGGCGAGTACTTAGATTAATAATTTAGCTCGTAAGAATATTTATAATTACTAAAAAGAAAGATTAAATCTCTATTAGTGCGTAATAGATCGTATAGAATCTTGCTAGAGTTATATATATCTTTCTAGTTTTAATAGTAAGTCTTTACTAGAGAAGTCGTATAGTCTCTTAAAGTAATATGGTTTGATTATATTAATATTCTAGTAGATCTCGCTCTATTTTAGCGAAGATATAAGACCTTTCAGCTATAAATATACGTTAGCAATTTTTTAGTATCGAAAATATAATAGATTATTAGCTAGCTGGTTAGCCTTCGTAGATATTTAAATAGATATTACTATAATATTATAAGTAGTTGCTAGTATAGCTATATCGCGTAATAGGGCTATAGCTAACTCATATATAGAGGATTTACGTAATTTATTAACGTATATATCGTTATCGTAATAGAGAATTAAGCGAGATTCTCGTAACTAATATAGCTACAGCTTTATCGCGTAATAAACGACCTTTATTTCTTTAAATTATATATCTTTAAAATAATAACGTATAGCTATTTTAATGCTAAAAACGTTTTTAAGCTAAATCGATTAAATATAATCGAGATAATCGAGAATATAGTCTCCTATATCGAATTTTCTAGACGTATTAGTTTATATATATTATATAACTCGACTATCAACATAGCGTATTAAGGCGACGCTATTCTAATACTTTAGAAAAGTATCCCACTATAGTAAGTCTATCCTTATATCATCTATAATTTATATAATTATTATAGACCTTCGAAGAATATCGAAAAGTCGTCTTAAGAATACTCTTTCTAGAATTACGATTTTAATAGCGAAAGAGAGAAAGTTAATCGCTAACTCGAGCTCCTAATGTGAGATAATTTTTTTTTTTAAAGGTTTTTAGCCGTAATTCTTACCTTAGTCAGCTTATCCGAAGGGAGTCTCGCTTATATACGAATATTATCGAATTTGATTTCTAGAAACTCGACTATAAAACCTATAATATTCTTTATATAATTAATTTAAAAACTTAATTCGCTATATAGCTAGTCGAACTACTAAGTATATATAATTATATTATTATCTAATAAAAGGATTATAAAGAAATCGTTTAGATAGTAAAGTATTATTTTTTATAGAAGGATCGCGATTAAGATCTAAGTAAGGGCCTTTACGAAGAGATTAAATAGAAATAATAACATATATAGTTCGAATAATAGATATTATTCTTTTTAATAGCGTCTATTATAATTAAAATCAAGTAATCATTAATTCGATATAGCGATAAATATATATCTAAAGACGTCTTTAAGATCTCTTTTAACGAATTAAGCCCTTAAGTCTTTCTATAGTAATACTACTACTATATTATCGTATATAATATATTTTAATACGCCTTACTTCGCCTAGATATCGTTATTAACTAAATAGCTGTATAAGAATAAGAGATTATAAATTCGTCTTTAATCTTTATTATATTTCGATATTAAATCGAGTAGCGAATAGACGTAGTAAGACTTATTTTAAGAGTTAACCTCGATTAAGCGATATTATTAAAGCTATTTTTAAAGATCTATCGATAGTATTTAGAGTGCTTAATATATTAATAAATAATTTTAACTATAATAAACTAGAATATAGCCTTAAAAATCTATCTTAGCGCCTTTTCGAAGAATAGTCAAAATAGTCTTAATAAATATTAGATTCAAGTAATTATTTAACTATTTAAATTAATTATTAACTATTAACGATCTCTAATAGAGTAAATCCGAGTTTAATAAGTTATATAGCGCGTATAGAAACCTCTTAGATATATACTATAGCGACTAGAGTATCTATAAATACTCTAAGAGTTATTCTATCTTAATAATACGGTTACTTAATAATAAATAATTAAAGCTACTTATAGCTGAGTTTAGAGCCTTAGAGTACTTATCTATCAAATAATTTTATTAATAGATTATATAGATATATAAATAGATATAGCGCTCGCGAAAATAGTTACCTCTATTAAAATTCTTATAAATTTTAATTCCTTCAACGATAATCTTACTAGAGCTAAACGTATCGAGATTTAGCTTACTATTACCTATATAAGTCTCTTTAGATATAAGAAAATCTCTATAACTCTAATTATTCGCTTTCTAGATCTTAAGATTATCTTAATTATTCTAAATATATATAATAATAAAGGCGAGGTAATAAGCGAGAATAAAGTTAAATCTATAGGTGATGAATAGCTATAGTAGACGAATAGTATACATATATAGAATCTTATTTAAGTCTTTCTTTACGCTAATATATATAAAGCGACTAGCAATTATCGAGTATATATAAAAGTAGTATATTATATAATTATGATTATTAATGTTCTTATCCTCCTTAGTCGAGATAGTATATATATAAGCTAGTTTAGCGAAATTTTTAATCTTAAAAATCTCGAAGAAGATTTATTTAAAGTACTTAACGTTTATACTTCGAAACCTTTTAGTAATACTAAAAAAGGGCTTCTTACCTTTCATATAACGAAAGAGAACCTCTCTTCTTTTCTCTTAGTTTAATTTAAAATTAGATAAATCCGAATTCGATATATTCGAGTAATGATAACAATAACTATAATTATAGCGATGATAATAGCGATATAACTTATAAATCTTATCCTCGTAAGAATAGCGATTATTTCGCTCCTCTTAGATCTTAAATAGCTAGGCTATTAATTCTTAAAGATCTACTTTAATAGTAGATAAGAGCGTTTTATCTATCTGATCCGAGCTTATAGTATCTAATAACATATCGTATACGAGAATATTCTCGCGAGAAGGAGGTATTTTGGCCTTAGTGGCCTTGAGAGCCTTTTTGATCTTAAAGGTCTTATTAACCTTATTGACTACGTTAAAGGTCTTTTTAATAATTTTAAAAGCGAGGATAATACGTTTAATCGCTTTTTTAGACCTAATAATAGCGGCGAAGGCTATTATAAAATATGTAAGAGTATAGAGTATATTTATAATAGTTAGATAGTATTTATAGTAATTAAATAAAGACTAATTTATATAGACTCAACTACGAAAGAAGAAGAAAAATAATATAGCTCTAAAAGAGATAAAATCGAATAAAGAGCCGTTAATAGGTGCAAAATAGGTGGCTATATAGCTTATATTGAACACCTATCCCTAACCCCTTACCGGGATATTAACAGAGGTATCAACAAGGGTACCAACAGAACGGCTGATCAAATAGCCACCAACGCTATAGCCTCATAATGGACCCACTAACCCACAGTCCCACTGTTGCGAGATGGCACATGCCAAGACCTGAGAGTGCCAAGTTTCCTGCCCAGCATGCCAATACTGGTACAATGGATCGCAGCGGCGACTAGATATTAACGCGAGTACATGCGGACTTCCCAAGACATGGCGAGTTCCATCAATCCTGCCCTCCCTTCTTTCAAATTTTGGCCCGACTTTCGCCAAAGTCCGATCGTCTCTTCCTCCTGATCGCGGTCCCCTGCCTCTCCAATTCTGCCCTCTTTTCCTTTAATACACCCTCTCTCCGTTCCTATTGCCTCTCTCTCCAAAATTCGGTCCTCTGCTCCTTCAGTTCCGCCTTCCCTTCGTTCAAATTCCAATCCCCGCTCCTCCAATACTGCTCTCACTTGCTCCATGTTCTCCCTCCTTTTCCCCAAGCCGAGCTATATGGCTGGTGGCTGCCGAGAACCTGCGAATCGTCGAAGGGGTCGTGTGTGATCCCGCAGGTCCATCTGGAGCTGTCTCTCAATAGTAATCGTCGCTGTCATAGGGATCGACATAATCCAAAGGAGCATTCTCGAGACTCTCATCGCCGATGTATTGTGAGCGTGGTCTATATTCCCACTCAAAAACGGAGTCTCTATGTGGCCAGACCTTCTCGAAGATGTCAAAATGAGGGTTAGAAATCCAGTGACCGTATCCGCACAGTCTATCTAGCTTGTCATGGGAGTTGCTGCTAGTAACGTATTTCAAGTCTTCCTCGTTCTCTGCTATGGCTTCTTCAATGGTCTTGATGACCAACTTCTGATGTGCATGATCAAGTGACTTGATCTGCATCATCACGTCCTCGGTGTCTCGCTTCGACTCTTGCAGGCTCACATCCTCGTTTAAGGAAACGGGTAGATGTATCTGTGCTTTGGCGACGTTTGCCAGGAGCTTGAATAGATCGAGGATATGTAGAACGTCCGAAGGCAACCGTTTTGCATTACAACTCATGTCCATTGTCCCCCGAGGCTCGCCGTCGAGTGACCACGTCGCGTACTGGTTCTCCATGAAGTGAAGGGATAGGTTCTGTACGCAGGAAGCCCCTTGTAGATCGGAACAGACCTTCTGAACTTGTCTCCAGACGCGTATCATGTCGGTATATCGGTCGGGGTGTGCAGGATAGATTTCGATCCTGAGGTGTGCGATGCCGTCATAGTCCAGTGGCTTGCCCCTGGCCCGAAAACACGAGACCGCGAGACCATCGAATGTGGCATCTTGCCAACATATCCGTAGGTTGAATGCAGTTTCATGTCGGAGGAGGTCCTGGACTTCCGCATTCACCGCCTTGCTGACTTGCAGTATCTCAGCCGGGGGTTTTTCCCAGTCGCAAGTGTCAAGGACCATTTCGTGGATTTCTGCGGGTGAGGGGGAATACCGATCGAGTAGGTATTCTCTGTAGGCCTGTAGACGTATTTCCACGGGGAGGCGCATGAAAGGGAAAGGATGCGCGACAACTGTATCTGCGGGGGATGGTGGGGACTGGGCAGCACTGTCGTAGTGGTCTGGGACAAATCTAGTCCATGTGAGTGCCATTGTCGGTGAGGGGTATTTCGTAATGTTGTGGCGATGAAGCTGCAAGGTATACCGGAGTGAGAGTCGAGAAGACGACGTTGAGCAGTGGTGTAAGTTCTGGAGGCGAGAGGATGAATGTCGAGTAAAGGTGAGGTCAAGCAATGGTATGTTGTATGTATTCTGAAAACAGTGACCCTTAATTTTCGTAGGATGAGTCACAGCTTTGCCCTACAACAACGATGCCAAGGAGAAAAATCTGAGAGAGCAAATTTGAGTGACTAGTGGTACGATAATGATGTAGGTAGGTAACAGTACTCGTACTCGTCCTGGTGTGATGGCAAGGACTGTGCGATTTGAGCTGAGGGAAAGCTCCTCAACAATAGAGTCCGTAGGAATTAGTTGGAAGCAGGTCAACTGCAATTTCGAAACCACTTTACGTTGCGAGAGATTTTGCAGGATTCTTGGCGCTCGGGACTCTTGCTGGTGTCGCCCAGAGCAAATTTTACGTACCTACCGGTAGAGCCTACGGTACGGAGGTTGGCACCAAAAGTGCTGCACATCAAGTACGAGACCTACCATTGCGTCAATATTTCGGATAACGCCCCGCCTAAAGCGCTGTCTGGACAATGCGCTTAGTTCTGCTTAGGGAAGATGCCTAGCGTCGACGGTGAGATCCACGGTCGCTGTGCACATGGACGGAGCTATTTGGGAAGATTATTTCGGCCTAGCCTCGAAAGACAGACGGTGCTCGGCGGCAGGTGTTCGAGTTATGGAGACAAATCCTTGAGTCGAAGCGCAGGTTGGACTTCCTGTAGTGTTCACTAACCCATGACAGGGTTTCAATGGACGCTCCATTGGACTCGTTCTGGGCGCAGAGTTTGGGCTTGATGCCTACGCTGGATTCCGACGTCACAGAGCGCACCGCTACCGCGTGGTAACCTTCACTTCCAGAAAACGTTTTGGACATGGATTTTGGGCTTGAAGTGCGCGTTTGGCTCCGCTCTTGTAACCATAAGCGGTGCTTGAAATCATTTCGGACATTACATTCGGGAAATGAACCGAGAGACGACCCCATCCCTGTAACAATGAGCCGGCGTTCCAGACGCAATCCCAGGCTCGAAGCAACTTTCGGCCGCACAATTGAGGCGGCTACCCCGTACATACTGCCCTGAAACATCCGAGCGGTTGAACCCCCAACGGCTTCGGCGCGTTCCGATGTCCCCGACGGATGTTTCAGTCTATGGTATCGGCAGCTTCTGAAATATATGCCTTAATGGGTTTCGGACGCAGCAACCTAGGCCCTCGATCAACGGAAACAGCCAAAACGCACTGTTTGATGGACGACTCTGTGGGGATCAAATCCTGGTCTCTGGCAAGCGGAGGGACCAAAGCCAATGCCTTGGACAGCAGCTACCTGCCATGGAAGACTCGACTCTGACTTTGTTCGCTTCCGTGTGTCAGCATTGTGGCATGGGGTAGGGAGAAGCACGAGCTAGCACTACGAAAATCTGTCCTTGGTACCCTAAAACGCATGCCGTTTTTTAGTTGTGTTGTAGAATGACATGAAGCATTCCATGAAACAGAGAAGACTCAGGCAGCGAGCACAGGTCTGTATAAAAGGCTGTCCCCATGTTCTCGATATTGTTCTTCATAGAATTTCAGCCTCTCTTACAGACATCTGCAAGAACAATAACAGCAATCTCATCCAAAATCAAACTCACCCCGAGACATCCTGCTCATAATACGCATCCTGAACACCCTGGACATGGAACATCAATACCTCCTTTCCCCTCATGTGGATGCGTCGCCATCACCCGTCAGCGATGTGCCATCGCCCGTCAGCGACATATCTCCCCTTGAATCCAAGCACAAAGCGATCATTATCTTCTTCAAATACTTTGTCGATGTGGCCACCACGAAAGCCAGCACAAGCACTGCTGAAACGGAGCGCCTCCTGCCTGAATCTTCGGCTGCCGCCAGCGAGTTTCTCAAGCGACTATACAATGTCGAGGTTCGAGCAAGTTCCATTGACAGATACTGGCGTCAAGCCAAGGAAAACGCCGTAGAGCGTAACATCACTTGGGACGAGAACGCTGTGGCTCAGATCATTAGCAGTCAAGTGAAGGATGACGACACATTTGACGAGGTCAACTCTTTCTTGCAACACCATGCTGGTGTAAGTTCCAGTGAACCAATTTTCTTCCTCTCATTGGCATCCGCTGACAGCTCCCACAAGGACGAACGCCTCTCCGTAACGACAGAGTGGATAATATCGAAGGCATGGCAAGCCTTATCCGATCCGCAGGGCAACGTCCCCTTGCGAACCTACTGGAAGGAGATCAACCGAGGCCGACGCGGTCCTCCTAGCATTCCAGATCCCCCACTGAAGCAGGTTTCTGACGAATCTCCAACCCCTCTGGTCATTCCTTCCAGTCTCCTTCAACGCGACGCCGATCGCGCTCTCGAGAATGGTCGCTCTGGAGACGCAGACTGATCTCAGACGGACCGGTACCTTTGGGTTGATCACTGGGAAGCCGTTGTGCAATGGGTTTGCATCTGCGTGGTAGACAAACACAATCTTTCAATTGGCGGCTTTGATGCCATGTTATGCAATGGTACTGGCACTAAATACTCAGTTAGCACACTCTTTTCACGGTTGTATTTAGAGGAAGATGAAGCAGGCTTTGCGCTTCCTTAGTACAATACCACACTCCTTTGTAATTGCTTCTTCTGGATTTGGCTGGGTCAGACGAGGTATCAGCAAAAGTGCCGGTTCAAGCTCGATCATGGACAATAGGAGCATGCACTACATGACTTTTCCTATGGTCTTACGCTCTTCCCGAAGCAATCGGCGTCATGTACGGCAAGCTCTTTTCGGGCTGGTTCCTAGAAGTAACGCGCTGTCAGGGCAATCACATTTAGGAGTGACACCTTTCTCTGGGAGCACCCTCGAATAACACGCTTTCTTTTGAGAAGCAACCAGAGTCATTAGTGACATGGTTTTCTAGGAGAAGCCCACACTGGCATGCTGTTGGAAGCAACCACAACCACAACCGGCATGTTTTGTTGCGTGAGAAGCCCAGAATTCATTCGCTATCGAAAGCGACTACAGTCATAAGCGACATGTCTTTCCGGGAGAAGCCCAGAGGTAACGCGCTGTCGAGAGCAACCACAGTCATAAAGTGGGAATATATCCAATCTACTTTTGGTGAAGCAATCGAGTCACTCTATTTTCGGAACACCATCACAGCATAGCGGAATGTGCCATTGGCATAGCCTCTTCTCATCGCTCGGAAAGCTTGAAGGAATGCTAGACCGTCTCGACCCTGAGAGATGGCAAAGGCCCACAGCGCTGGGTTCTGGACCAGCGACCATGATATATCCCTACGAGTATGCATGTGTCAAGGTACCGTTCACAATTGTCGGGAAGCCCTTGGGGACCTACCAAGTCTTGGAGACCTCTTTGCTGATATCAAAGGGCTTTGAGAACACACTAAGCCCAGCCTGCTTTGCGTAGCTGAGGTACTCTGACTGTGTGTTCAATCCAGGGAGAAGCATTCCGTCTTTGCACTAGTCAGTTCCATGGCTGACTAACACCAGCAGGCGAGTCTCACCCTCGATCGGCTTGATATCTGCTTCCATTTGCGCATCTGTCAACTCCTCGGCCTTGAACCAGTCCGCTACCACCAGTTTTCCACCTTCATTCAGCAGCATCGAAGCGTTCCGAAAGAAGAGTTCCTTGTTGGGCAAATGGCTCATTGCCTCCGAGATCCACACGCAATCGAAGGCCGTCTTTGTCTCTGACTCATTGAAGAAGTCACCCATCTTCTCAGCATCGAGCTCGACGAACCTTACAGTGCCATTACCCAACCCGATGGAGCTGGATGTCTCGACCTCCCCCTGGACACGTCCTGCCTCTTTTGCAGACAAGTCTTTTGCCAACTTTACCTGCTGCCCGCTGATGGTGATTCCAGTAACACTACACCCCTTATTCTTAGCTAGATAGCGCGACGTGCCGCCGATGCCACATCCGACATCCAGAACCTGGCTTCCGGGGGGCAATTGAGAGCGCTCGAGTAGGAGATCTACAAGGCGCGTCTGTGCCACTTCTTTCGTGTCTGCTGGATTGAGGAAGTAGCCATGGTGTATATGTTCACCCCTGCTCATTAGCGAATGCTTCCCGGCGTGGAATCCGATACCGTGAACACTCGACACGTACATACCAAAGCGAGTAATAGTAGTCGGAACATATCTCGTAGTGGCGCTTGATGCGGTCTTTCAGGCCGGCAAAGGAGGTAGAGGGTTCTGGAGGGGGAATCTCGTAATCATCCCCAATGTCCTGAGCTTCAGAATCCTTTGATGAAGACTGAGTATGCGCTATGGGTGCTTCATGATGGACTTCCATGGTGCAAAGCTAGACCCTGACAGGACTGATATTCTTGCGCTCCGGGTGAAAACAGATCGAGACTTCTCTATGCGTCCCACGATTGATGGCTCGGTTGGAAAAGAAGCGCTGACGAGAACTTAGCAGCGCGTATATCATGCCGACGCTAGAGAGACTTTTCGCCACAGCTTGACTGGGGGCTAGTGGGGCGCAGTACACACAAGGCAACATAGCCGAGATTGCTATGTTGGAAGAGCTGTAACCCGATACTGGTAGGCGGTATCCCTCCTGTTTTTTCGCTCCTGATTCTTATTCCTATTCCTCTCGTCGCAAAAAGAGGTTTTGGAGCCTCATTTTTTCAGCGATTTCTTGTATCTAGACTCCAGGTCTTCTACCTTACGTAGAGGGAGTTTTCTTAGGGCTGAGCTGCATTGTGGACCGCTGTCTGCGTGCTTCTAAGCCTTAGAACCCAGCCAATCATCGTTTAGAACTCATTTGTGCGTGTAGTTTTCGTGGGATATTAAGCAAGAACAACACTAGCGGGTATAAGCTAAGGTACCTTAGCCGCATTTAGCTGCGGAAAAGTCGTTTCTGATTACCGTACCTCAGCACCTTTTGTATCAGCTCGAGCAACCCCGCTGAGTGAATGCTTCTTCTTGAATCCTCCAAGTATGGCACTTTTAGAGCAGCGTATAATGTTTGCACCGATCTGACGCAACGTCTTTTGAAGACCTAATAAGCCCGGGCGGAAGTGATTTCGACGGAGAATCAACCCAAATTGTAGTCTGGATTGGTTGCGCATCAAGCAAGCTACCAGAAACAGTGACAATCTAAGTCGCTGAACTTCGGACTTCCTTCATTCACGGTTTCCTACTTATTTCTGAAAATATCTCGGAGGAATATGTCGCTTGAGACTATGGTTGCTTCCGATAGCCTATAAATTCTGGGATTTCCCAGGAAGAACATGTCGCTCATAAACATGATAGCTTCCGACAACGTGTTACTTGTCGCCTTCTCTTGTAAAAAAATGTGGCCTATAATTAGGATTGCTTCTAACATTAGATTGGTACAGGGAATCAAATCGGAAAGGCTTACCGTATACGACACTGATGACTTCAAGAAGAACATAAGACATCGTAAGGACCGATGTTGTGCCTGAACAGCAGAAGGCAGTAAAACTCTGAAGCAATGCCAAAGCAAAAAGAGCTTCACCTGAGAGGAATTGGTCCATACTCAAATGCAATCTGACAAAGATGTGAGAGTCACTTTGTCGAATTGCAGGGGAACAGGCTGAAACTTCCGAACCGCTGTCACAAAATGTGGAACCCCGGAATTACTTACAATGACATTGCTCTCCATCAATTCTCGTTTATAGAGCATAGTTTTGTCTAACAGTGCTTTACGACCGACCAAAAGCCTTCAAATAAAGCTGTGATTGAGCTTCATGGCTTTCTCGGTTTGTTTAGGATTTCTAGTCTTTCTCGCGCCTTCCTGCCAGGTCCAGGTCCAGGTCCAGGTCCAGGTCCAGGTCCGCGGGGGCTGAATCTTCAAACATCTCTGATACGTATGAGCAAGCAACGATCACACACTGATTTACATGAGATCGCTGACAGATGTTTCATTGTTTCCGAGGGACGTACACCAATAAAGACTGCGATACTTATCGAACTGTTGTCATCATCTTGTGACAGGGTGGATGTCCTTGCCTCATACCATCCCAAACGCCAAGCAGTGCTCACCTACAACTCACCGGGTTTTGCAACATCGTCATGCTGATGCACGTATTTCTGTGTTTCGCAGGATGTACTGCCAGCGGAGGCTGTGACAATCGTTTGGGAGAATCTCACCGTCCTACGAATACAGGAATACGAGCCAAACATCCAGTCGCAAGTCGCCTTGGTCCTGCAAGACTTGACATTTCTTCGATGGATACTGTTTAGATGCATGTAACATCTCTGATCGAATAGGAACAAGGGGTTTGCAGTGTTCGAGATGAAGCCTTGCAGGCAAATGTTTACAATAATAAGAGTCAATCCGCGTCCCAGACTATGGTTTTCTTACCTCTAGAAAGTCATACATGCTTACCGCAATACCACTCAGCTCATGTTGGTACTGAACCCTTTTCCCTCAAAACAGACCATTTCCGACTACCAGAATGCCTTCCAAACCCAAACCTCTCAAACCTCCAAGACACACACCCAAAGTCGTTGCGATCATTCTTTGCTTTAGCATCCTTCGAGTTAACGCCAAAGTTGTGTCTGAGCTAATCAAGTTGAAAAACCCTGGCACCGTAGAAATAGAAGCCATAGAGTGTCGAGCACGCCGCGGATTCCACGAAAGGTCTGACTTCCCCAACCGAGGAATGACCAAGGCGGGAGTCGGCGAGTTAGTTGCACGAAAAGTCGTTCCGGACTATGACGAGATCATAGCTATTACCGAAATAGACGGAGAATGTGAGAAAGTGCTCAGCAAGGCGAGTTTTACTAATGAGTACTTCTCGATTGCTTGCGCTAACCACCGCTACTAGCATTCGGATATTCCACTGGCAGAGTTGAAAGATGGTATCAAGGAGATTAGGGCCGCAGCTATGAAGACACTGAACATCGGGTGCGACTACGACATTGGCCAGGACTTTATTCAAGGGAATCAACCGCGATCGCCTTCACAAGATTTCAAGGAGTATGTAGCGAAAGCCAATTTCGCCCCTTACCGACATGGTTCGAAGAACAAGCCATCGCCGTCGCAAGCATTCAAGAAATGGTCATTCGATCCCGTTTTAGGCCGTGAGAGTCCATCGCCCGAGGGACCCTAGCACGCTTCTTGAGACTCTCTGCACTCTTCGTGTGACACTCAAGAGTTAAAAAGCAGGTCTTTGAAGGATCCAAGGTGGCGCTCAAGTGTCAAGGGACACGGATAGGGGATATTTGTTTGGATCAGGGTGCGATGGGGTGTTCTTGGCTTTTCATGCGTGGGTGATACTGTGTATTTCGTTGGATATGGAGCATGTAATGCGATGGGTTTCATCTTGCGTGCTTTATGAACACACTCTTTTGGCGGAAGCCACAGTGCGAGATCGAGCATATGGATCCTTTAAGTCAACAGTACACTCT